AACAATAAAAAGCGTTTTGTAATTTTGTTTTTTGTTAGAGAACTACATTCGTTATCACTCATTATTTATCGTACAATAATAGAATAATTAAAATTTCTATTTGGTAAATTTAAGTTTTGACGAGAAACAGAATAGGTTTGGTTTTGTAACTACCGTCTATAAACAGAAATAAACAGTCTTGTAACTGTAAACCAATGGACCAAATGTAAATGCAATTTCCTTTAAATCATCAAAAGTGTATTTAGTTGTGTAAGATATCATCAACATTTTATTATTGAAGTACCTCAATGAAATGAGTATGGTTGAAATCGTGCTTACATTTTCTCCGTTTATTTACAATTACCAAATAACCGAGGTTATAAGCTTAACCATTAATATATAGGTATAATACAAGTACATTAATAAATTATCGCGCGTGTAAAAAGTTAGAGATCAAACAAGCATTTATTAATGATCGATTAGATCGTAGACTATATTTTGGTATAGGTTCATACTTTGCTGATTTAAGATGTACTTTTTTATACTGTATCGGTTTATGCCGCACTAGTTTTTTCTGGTTGATAATATGACACGTCGATTTGTATGCTTTACAAGCCAAGTGGTTTTACAATTTTATGTTGTAGCATAATAACACTACGCAGCGCGCCATATAACCCCCCTTTTTTAACAAATTCTCAGCAGCTCGTCGAAGCCGACACCAAGTTCCATTTATGTTTTACTGAACGGTTATCATCTGCCCGCTTTACAGACTATATTCGAAAGTAAATCGTTACCCGAATTGTGTCTCGGTTTCAGCAAAAAGTATTTCGACTATGTATAATATATTTTCGTACATTGTTTTATCGAGAAAAATACTTTCCCAAACCCGACGTGCTGCGTTGCCGCAGCAGATGCTATATATATTATATAAAAATAAATAACAGTCTGCAGACACGTATTTCCTTTGCGATACACCGCCTACTTAATTCGGACGCGGGCGACGGTTTTTCAATATTTATTATAAAGGAAAAATAATCGATCACCGTAATAAAAAAATAAAAAAAAACGAAATTACCAACACAGGATGAGACGATATCCGCATTGAAAAGAATGTAGCGTGCGCGCCCAACAGTTCAATAGTCACAACATTTGTCCACGTCTCAAGAGACCGCTGCTTTTCCGACACAGGTAGGTACTTACACTTTTCGGTTTGCCCATATGGATAATATATAACATACCGCGTGACGACTATTATTATTATTATTGTCCATCGGTATATATATATACATATATATATATATGCCTTATAAATCTAAAGCTCAACATCAATTTTTTCCTTTTTTTTGTATAACACATAATATATTGATCTACCACTTTCCCTCCAATTTTCTTTCTATGTACACTCACAGTATTTTATCACACGTATTACCCACATGGACCGAAGGCCGCCACGGTGCACGCGGTTGTTCCGGTCCAACGCTTTGCATTTTTGCCAACAGATACATTTGGGGTCCTCTGACCGGTCGGCCTGTACAATCGCTTTTATTTCGCTGGAAATTACATTTCAGTTTACACCGCCTCCCCATGCCTATTGGCCGCCAACTGCAGTATTATAACAATAGATAGTTAGCAGGTGTTATATCCGCAGGTACCGACCAAGTACTTAGGTTTTCCACCCATCACAAAATCGAATCGCAAAAGTACCGCACCGCCGAGCATAAATTGAACGACAATTACCCGTCATTACTCTTTTATTTGTTATTATTACAATTTACAGCCGTTCACAGTGTTTTACTACACGGCATTTAATTTATCTAACAGTGTACCTATGATGTCCGACACCCGTTAACAGCACCACAAACGGTAAGACAAACCGACAAAAAACAACGATACGCGCTTCTTTGTTATTGTTTTCAATAGACGACGGAATACAAAAGGAAACATTAACAGGAATAACTACAAAGAATGAGAAAAATTTTAGTGGAATAATCGCCAGGTAAAAAAAAAATTTAACTGTTTTTGGTTCATAAGCGACTGCTAGTAAAAAAAACAAAGTATAGTACTTATACATTTTTGTTTGTTTTTTTCTTCTCAAATATTGCCTAATCCAACTTAGCGCGGTCAGTGTTTTTATCTTTCTAAAACATTTAGTTTCCAAATTGTATCGCGTTTTGATTTACTAGTTTAAAGAATAAGATACTTATGCAATTTTTCTGGTTGACTTCATACCGAGTAATCCAAAAAAATACATTATTACTTGGGTGAGATTTTTCGCAAGAAACATTAAAAACGGAGATTTTTTCCCCGAAAACCGGGCAGCGCAAAGGGAATGTACAGATTTTATAATACTCAATTATTTCGTTAACAAAAATAATGATCCAAAACTGGTCATCGACCAGTCAACGTTTTTAGTACATTATTCTTTATCACTATTTTTTCTAACCTAGCCTAACTTGGCAAAATTCGTTAAAACAATTCAGGTAAAACAAATTATAATGTTATTCGGTATAACGTTCTCGGAACAAATAAACTAAAAACGTTATTCGGTATAACGTTCTTGGAGTAAAACAAGTTATAACGTTTTTAGTTATAACGTTCTCGGAGCAAATCAATTTAAAACGTTATTCGTTATAACGTTCTCGGGGTAAAAAAAAAAATAAAACGTTATTCCTAGTTTACGTCCATGAACATAATTTTGAACTGAACAAATAAATAACGGTTAACGGAACCCTGAAAAATACAAAGTCAAAATTTCATAAAAAATCTTTCAACATTTTTGCTCTTGCTTCAAATACACTACATTGTATTTTTTTAAATAAAAATCCCTTTATTACCAGCTTAGAATCCGGAAGTTGAAATAAGACATGTCTCACCTATATAGTGGCACCTATTCAAAAAGATATTGTCACAATAGAGGGTTTTGTTAAAGAGATTGTCTCTTAAGAAATTACTTAATAAAGCCATTATATGATTATCATGACTACGAGAAATTTGTATTATATAGAATAACTATTAGTCACGTTAATCCAATAATTTAAAATTGATTTTACAGAAAAATAGGTTAAATCTTGAAGTATCAATACTTGTTACTATTATTGGGGTTTAGTATTTTTATTTGACTGGGAAACCATAAGCGAAAATCCAGGGGATATTTTTTTTTGTAAATATCTTTTCCAGTATCACTCTAAAAATCTCTATATACATACACTGCTTTACTGCAATGATTTATGCTATTGGAAAATCCAGGGGGATTTTTTTTTTGTAATTATCTTTTCCAATAGCATAAATCATTACGGTATAGCAAGTATGTTTAGAAATTTTTAGTGTGAGATAGATATGATTAAAATATAATCATTAGAAATTATTTCAAACTATTTATTTAAAAAATACCATTAACATGAAATAGCCAGGGACAAGAGTTTTCCCTTTTAAGGAAGTCCCTAAGGACATTACAGATAAAAAATAAAACTATTTTTTAAAGAGAATAAGTTAAGCGTCTTATGAAAGCCGATTTTTCCCGGACTATATTGTAGAGTTACAGTTTTGAGATTGTAAATAGGCCAAGTAAAACTTCATCGTCAATATCTTGACACGATCGATTCTCTTTTAAATTATATATAAATATACGACAGACCAAAAGATAACACTAGATGATAGATCAACACACTGAATATACATTATTATGTTAACGATTCTAGGATACCTAAATTATTTTTTATATTCAATATTTGTTAACAAGATTATAAAAGTTTCGATGAACGACACAAAATTATATTACGCCTCTAAAGAATCTCATTTTAGTACGACATCGATATAATAATATAATCTTGGACTGTTTGCTCGAGAGATTTGCGTGGGCGCAACAGAAGAGAAAGCGGTTGGATCTCGAGGCGACCATAGGTATAGGTAGGCATATAGGTACATACCGGACGAGGTCGATAAGACAGACAATGAAGCCCGGGAGAATTAGTCAACATTTCCAACTAGTTCGCTATTTGAATTTGACTGAGTTAAAGTAATTACCCACTCGTTAACGTTTCCATCGAGTAAAACGACTCGTTTCACGTTTGGATTACAAATGTTGTTTCTAACGTTTTTGGTCCGACTATGATTTAAATTCTAGTTTCATAAAGTCGAATGAACGTTAAAACGAACGATAATCGTGTTACGGCTAATTATTAAAATTACCAAATAATTTCAAGTACACTTTTAACTTTCTTAACCGATTAGTGCTCCTCAGCCTCACAGAGCAGACAATTTAAAACGTAATGGACACCCTCTCACCCAGATTTTAGCCACCCGAATATTGACATCGAACAAACAGCGTTAAATTGTTGTTTGAGTTAACTGTAACTATTCAATCAGTCTATATAGTATTCGTTGGATGTTTTCTTTCTTATTAATCCACTAAACATGTTGGTCGAATAAAACAATATATAACATTTTTCATTCCACACTGCGCTTTTATTCTTCACACATGACTTGTTGAGAGACCATTGAACCAGATGAAAACTTGAGGGAGTTCCTCCCAAAAAAATTACCTATTTTTGTATACATTTTATAAAAAAAAAAAAACCATGTCACTAATTGATTTTGTATAATAATCAATCTTAAATATAGATATTTGAAGAGAACTAGGAAAGCACACTTAAAGCGGCTATTACGGAAGCTACAGCACAGTGGCGGGTTTAAGGGGGCAGTAGCCTCCCCCCCCCTGGGGCTAAGCTATTTTTTTTTAAGGCAAATATTATGATATTTCAATAATTATTATAAAATATCGTCATTGAAGAATATATGGTTATTTAATATTTATGGATATTTAAATATTTAGGTTTCAAGCTATTTTTTTATTGTTGGATTTTGGATTTAAAATACAGCTAGGTAAGACCTCAATTAGCCCCCCCCCCCTCGGTAAGTGATAAAACCCGCCCCTGCTACAGCATCCCCAACAATTATATCCCTAATTTTCCATATTGTTCAGTCATGGATTTTATATGAAAACAAAACGGATCATGATTTACCTGGCTGGAGCACGGGTGTAGAGCATGTCCCATGAAACTTCAACGCGGCCAAGATGACGACCACAACTCCGACTGTGGCCGTGGACGACGACGGCCTCATGTCCCGTGTATTCGGTGTACCGACGGACGACGGCCGTTTTACGTGCCCTTCATCGTTTCTTGGCTATAACGCGACTACGGGTTTTTTACGCGATCGCATGTTTTCGCAATCCGTTGGACCAATACCTGGGCCGAGTGAACGTCGTCGTATCATAGCGCTGTTCGCTGCCGCCCACGACGGCACAAATATTCGCGTGCCATTTTTCGTGGTCACAAACGCGAAGTTATTAAAATTAATATAACGTATACATTTTTTTTTTACTAGTAAATTTATTTTTCAAAAATCCAAATTTTTACCAGTTTATGCGGCTTTTTATAAACACATTTATAATTATTATTGTCAAGTTTAATTGTCCCGACGAACGAGAACTCGCGTAGAATTCACACAAACGACGACCAACAAACATACACGGCAAACGACAAGCGACTGGCTGACGGCTGGGGCCTATGGACGACAAAGAACGGCGGTGGTGGTCAGCAGAGGCGATGACGACGGGTACCGCGCTCGCAACAGCTGAAACGCCGTCGCGGGTTCTCGGGCATTAGAGCGCAGCACAAGCAACACGTGCAAGCGAGAAACCCCACCCCGCAGCCGTCCATGACAACCATGTGGAACGACTGTCGCCGCGCCTGTTCGTGTTAACGTCACGGAGTCGGCCTACCACTGTGTCCCCAACATAATCTAAGCCACAGCCGGGACAGCCCACAAGGTAAAGAGTAGACAGGATAGTAATTAGTAGAGGAGAGGCTTGGTAAGTTCAGACCCTTCAAAGATTCACCGAAATTAGGTTAAAAAATCTTAGTTTCTACATGAAGAAGCCATGGGTGTTTGACACAAAGACAGTTTTTGGCATCTTGAAAAATACATAATGGAGATTTAAAGGATTTAAATTCCCTAGTCCTCTAGGAAATTCCCTCTGTTTGCGCCAATGATTGTAAATGAACTGATAGCTTGGCCCCAAACTAAGAGTTGGAAAACAAATCTTCTTCTCCTTCGCCTTCGCCTTCGTCCTAACTATTTGGGGTGGCCCCCTCCCCAAAAAATTTATTGCAAACTACAAAAATGTTGAATAGTTTTTATGCTTATTTTTTAAGTAAAAAAAAAACTCTAGGAAACATTAAAGAAAAAAAAATGTGTATACATAAATATCTAAAACATATTATAGACCTGGTGATTTTCTTTTCATGGAGAGACTCGACACAAGCTAAATCTGCTGTACCTATATGTGCTCAGTATGAGTTTATAATTCTCCATAAATCCTCATAATTAGTTAATAGTTCAAGACACTGCCAGCATCGATGATTTAAGAAACTATAATTCAGGACCTTCATACATATTTAGCCTATACCCTGTTCGCTGAGAGAGCATGCCGGGTTTGCGCATGTAGACTGAAGACTAAGCAGCAAGACTAAGAGGCTGGCAGACAGGGCGGACTTCGGGAGGAACGCTAGTCACACTGGGTGCCGCGGGGGGATGCGCAGAACGGCCAATTTTCGTCGGGTCGCGGCATGCTCTCTCGGCGAACAGGGTATAGAACTAAGGTAATTAAAATTTTAAAAGAATATTTATTCATTTTTAACCTAGTTTTTGTATTTTTTGGCTCTATGAACACATCACAATATTATGTTCTAAACAACCGATATGGAGAATAATATGGAATAATGAATCACCTTATATGACAACCGTTCGGAGCAGTCTTCGGCCACCGTCTGAGCCCTGAGGAATCGGTCATTTGTTAAAAATCATAATAGTAACACGTATGTGGCGGATGCACAGCTTACGCTATCTAGCTGTCGCAATCGCATCTACTCGCGGTTAGAAAGCTAAATTCAGGTAGTTGCCGTATCGCTCTACCATGTGATTGAAGTTACGCGACTCGCACATAGAAATGCGACAATCGTTAACTATCGACTATCGTCCATTAGATCGTAGACACCCGTCGGGCGACCTTTTGCCTGCATCTCCAAAGTGTTATTTGTTGGGTGAATGTCATATACTGATATACGCTGGTTAGCAGCCAATCATAGATTTTACTCATTGACAAAATGATTTAAATTAAAAATAATACCTTGAAGCTTATATAAATTAAGCGGTAAATTTATTGACATGGTCGAAATTTATTTAAACCAATTTTTTCTTAAATTATGTCTTTACAAAACTCCTTAAAAATGGTCTGTATGGTGCCCCCTTAAGTAAGATGTTTTGATGAAAATTAAAAAAAAAACGCTTAACTAACTATAAATTAATTTCGGATTTCAATAAATCCGAAATTCAAAAGGAGTTCACTATTTTAGTGTTGTTTTTTTTACATTTTCATCAAAAATATTTTACTTAGGTACGGCTTTAAACTGTAAAAATATTTAATACTTATAACATTTTTAAGTGACTTAAATAGCATTTTTATTGTAAGAAAATCCGGATTTTCGGATTCCCATCACTACTGATAACACGCGTTTTCTGTATGACCCATAAACCTTATACTACAGTAGTATAAGGTTTATGGTATGGCCGGCGAAAAATGTAGTAACTCGAATCAACCAATAAAATCAATAAACGGACCGTATTTCGTGACAAAATAAATAGGTATATCAACAACTTGTGATAACCGCAAAATGGCCCCCGGTTTTTTCGGGCGGTCGTGTATTTAATCTATGAGCAACCCGGCAACCATACTGTAAAAGTTGATAATACAAAATGCTGACGTACCTATTTATTTTTTCATTATATATATATATATATATATATATATTTGAAATACTATGCGTAGCTGTTATCAAAAGAAAACAACTGTTATTTGTTAATAATAAATATAAATGTAGACTTATCTTTGCCCAATTAAATAAAATCTATATTATCAGACAAGTCACAAGTGACGTCTTCCTAAAGACCTACATAATACATTTGGTTTTGACATTTCATTAATTTTGGGTTCTTTTGTACAATTAAATACATCAAAAATGACGAAATTTATCACCAATCGAGTAAGATATTTTTTTTACATTAATTACGTTAAAATTACTTGCCATTTTTAATATTACTAAGAAAATTCATATAATTTTTGTAACACAATATGATTAATAATATAAATAGCCACACAAAAACAATTGTGATGTTCAAAAACGTTATATATTATGTTTATTTAATTTTTTGTCTAGTCAACAGTAACCAGTATTACGCTGTTAGCTACAACATCAGTTTTTCCAAAAGTGTTAGCCAAGGAAGAAGAACCAAATCTCGTCAAACCTAAAGATTTATCTATTTATCCTGACGAAAATAAAGGAAAAACTGTGTATGAATAATTGTGGCTTAATTCAATTAATAAGATAAAAGAGAACAAATATATATATATGTATATATTTTTTTTTAACAGTGAACAAGAGGACAATTGGAAACCAACAATAGCATTAGACACCATTAAAAAAGTTCGTGAAGAAGTTGTAAATTTCAATACTAGATTGTCAGGGATCAGAGAAAGAGGGTCTACTTTCTTTCAAACAGGAATTGCCCATACAGAATGTAAGTACATACATATTAAGTTTTTTCTAGTTTAACATACATATTAACTTGCTTTCTATGTTGCTTATATAAATAAAACTCATGCATTTTTAAACAAATTTAATTTTAAATTGCCTATAATACATGGCTTTTTTTAAAACCTGGAACAGGTTATTTTGGTAGGAATAGGTTACTTGGTAAAAAGTATTATAGTGTTATATGATTGAAAATGCATTAGTCATCGAAGTCTATTCTAACCTAGGAACAGATGCACATTATCGGACACACAATTTTTTTTTTTTGCCATTTATGTTTTTTTTTAATGCTGATTATGAATTGGTAGTCAGAAATACAGACTCTTATAGTTCACAAGTTATAACTACTTGAAGTTAGAGAATTATCATTGCGAGAGACGTCTGCTTCACTATTCAGTTAATGTTAGCTGCGGTGATCAGTTATCAGCGACATCGTAGGAGCATGTGCGTCCTATTACAGTATGATTACATTTTAAGGAACTTCTTACACCTGCCAGCTCCTCCTGAATCCAACTGGACTCCTATCAGATTCTTGTTAGGATGATTGGAGACTTACATACCCAAAACCCCTGAAGAAAAATTAGCTTACACGGGAGCCGATTCATGAACGTTTATCGAATTTGACAAAATTTTGTCACCATTGGTTTAATATGGCGACATAATCTTGTTGAAGGCAATAAAAATTCAAGAATCAGCGCCCTGGTAAGCTTATTTTTACTTCGGCACTCCCTAATAAATAGGGAGTATGACGTCCTCTTAATTGGAACAGAAAGCGCTATTTATTAAAGGGAAAAAGGTAGGTAATATTTGATAAACTTTTATTTTGTTTTAAAATTTTGAAAACAGAAGTAATAAAATCGGCTTTTTAGCCGCCATAGAAAAGTTGTTATACTTTATAACAAAAAAAAAAAATTGAAATTGGTTCAGTAGACACATCAGAAAGTGACTTCATGTTTTAGTCTTTATTGTATAAAATTTGGCGCTTTCCGTTGCTCTTAAGCTGTTTCCGTTTCTGAATTATTATATTATAGTACTTTATAAGTATTATATACATATAAATCTAAAAATCCAGATATATATTTACCTTGTAAAACTAGTTTTATATATTTATTTTTATATTTTAATTTTTAGTATTATGCTTGATTAATGAGTTATGTATTTTTTTCTTATTATGAAGCTTTTGTGGATAATTTGCGTCAAGAGAACAATTCGACATTAAGAGCTGGATTTGTTGTGGGCGGTGGTTTGACTGGTTTATTGTTAGCGATAAGAAAAGGAAAATTTAAGAAAATCATTTATACAACAAGTGGAGCAACTGCTGCGTTTTATGTGGGATATCCAAAAGAATCTGAGGAAGTTTCAAAAACGATAAAACGTTATTCTTTAGTTTCCTATCATTTAATTAATAACAGTAAGAAACATTTAAAATTGTCAATATACAAGTTAAAACGTGTTAATTTACTTCAAACATTTTAGTAACCAAAGATGTAACTGGCTTTGAATTACCTCCACTACCAGCGCCAAAAGATTTAGAAACTTCCAGTGAAAACAAACCAGATTTAAAAACATTGTTTAGTTCATCAATTGAATACATCAACGGAAAGTTTGACTCTTTAAAAAAACTTATTTTAAACAACAAAGATGTATGTTAAAAATGAAAAATCAGAAATATTTATTTAATTAACATTATTTTTATTATTTCTAGGTACCTGATGATAAAAGTAAATAAAAGTCAAATGTATCATTGCTATTAATAGTATATGGCGATTACAAATACAATTTAGCATGGATTTAGAACTATTTAATTAACATGCTCTACTTAAACGAGCAATCACATCTTCTTTACCAAGGATTACCATCATTTCACTTACACTTGGCCCTTGCTGTAAAACATAAGTGATTTGATTAATATAAATATTAAAAAATCGAAACAGCCTGTCGACTTACCTTCAGGCCACTAATAATATTACGTAAAGTTTTCATGAATTTACTGTAGATAATATTATTTGATTTAGAAAACTTGTGTAACGTCTCCCCTAGATTATCAACATCAAAACTATCCATATTGAGTAGATGTTCTTTTAACTGCATTATAAGTTCTGAAAAAAAAAAAAATTATTGTATTAATCTGTAGTGTTATTATTATGATCATTGATAGTCTGTATTTTGGTTACCTTTATCATAATTCATAGTTTGTAGAGAAGATTCTGATGGCTTCATCCAAATAAACTTAAAATTCTCATTTACTAGTTCATTTATGTTTGTAATTCTTTCGACACTCCACAACAAAATATTTTCCAAGTGCGATTCGCTTAAATCCAAATCGACTGCTTCGCTAAAACAACAAATGGGCTTAAATAAATAGGTTATTGTTATTTAAAAGTTACTAATTTAATTAGATAGATGTTTTTTTGGAATTAATTATTTAAAAGTAAACATAGATGGTGAGTATCAATGTGTATCAGTATTTGGAACAATGCAAATGTTTAAAATTTGGAGTTCCTAATTTAGTATCTCCATGGCAAAAATACTTAAATGTGACTTTTTTTAAATTTAAATTAAAAAAATTGTCAATCGATAAATGAAAAAAGTTTACTGTACAACAGAATATTAAATACTGTTATAATTTCAATGCTCCTTACAAAAAAAAGGCACGTTTCAGCTGCCAAACAAATAACAATGTTTTTTCATGAAATTTTTGTTTTTTGTAATTTAAAAATGTCGTTTTTTATACAAAATGTTGATTTGTATTCTTACTTTTTCAAAAACGCATTTTCAATAGTATATTTCAACTGTTCTACAGCCTTTTTTCTTCCATGTACAGTTCCAAGTTCAATTTTTAGTTGAGCTCTATTGAAAAAGTCAAGTTTATCCCATGGCACTTGACATGAATTAGAATTTATAAGTCTTATATCAAACTAAAATTTAAAAAATATAATCTTATGCGATAGTTTTGTACTCATAAAATTTATCTTACTTACATTACTTATAAGTTCATCTAAAGTTTTAATTCGTGTTTTACTCTTTGTTTGATTGTCACTGAAGCCTCCCCCGCAACTTACTACAAAATTTAACAACGCTTCAGGATAAATACCCTTATGCCTATAGGAACTAATTGTAATATCATTTTGTCGTTTAGACAGTTTTGTGCCATCTATATTCATCAACAACGGCAAATGTGCAAAATTTGGTGGCGTCCAACCAAAAGCTCTAAATTTTCAAATTTTTCTTTTTAAATAATGTTGTATTTGTCAAAAATTTTTAGTAATTTAAAAACTATTACTTGTATAGTAAGATATGCTTTGATGTCGATGGTTGCCACTCGACACCTCTAAGAACGTGTGTAATTTGCATATTGTGGTCATCGACAACATTTGCTAGATGGTAAGTAGGAAAACCATCAGATTTCACAATTACGGGGTCTCCTTCTACAGCAGCTACGTTCCTAGTAACATTTCTATAAACGAGATCATGAAAATGGCCATCATCTTGATCTAACTGAAATACTTGTACTTAATAAATACATTTTCTATCAATTAATTTAATTGATTAAATGAAAAAAAACCTTAAATCTGATAACAAAATTCATATTTTTCTTTTGTTCAATTTCTTCTGCATCTAAACTTCGACATTTGTTATCGTAACGCGGTATTCTTCTAGTACGTATAGCATCTCTTCTTAAAAGATCTAATCTCTTTTCAGTACAATAACATTTATATGCATAACCTTTATTGAGCAACTCCTGTGCTGCTAGTCTACGAGAAAAATATATATTTTTATACAATAATTTGTGTGTGTAAGAACTAGTTTTTCATTACTTGTAATTACTCAATCTTTCTGACTGAATATAAGGACCAAATGATCCACCAATTTTTGGACCTTCATCAAATTCTATACCCAACCATTTTAAATCTTCTTGAAGCTGATCAATAGCACCATTAACCACTCTTGAACGATCGGTGTCCTCAATTCGTAAAATATACTTTCCCCCTTTTGATTTTGCGAATAAATAATTATAAAGAGCAGTACGAAATCCACCTAAATGGAGATTTCCTAAAACAAAAATTGTATGAGACTAATTAAAATATATTACTATTTTTAGTATTTTTTATACTGAGTGTTCAAATATGAAAAGTAAGTAAAAAACGTTTAGACATCAAGAACATCTTCAACCAAACCCCCCTCCTCATTTCCCTTTTTTCAATGGGTTATTTATTTCTATTTATTTATTTAATAATTGACATCCATAAGGGGTAAAAGTACAGTAGATACGTCTTAAGATTATACAAGAAATATAAATCAGTTACACAAATTATTTTTACACCAAAAAAAAATTGTTTTCTTTTATATAATTTTTCTATTTTTCTTTTACATATTTTTAATTTAATATTTAATGCACTAAGGATTTAAATGTTTCAACTTGGATAAGGAATCTGTGAAAAAATCAAAATCTTTCAACATATTAGCCTAGCCGATGACGGTAGACGGTATTCAGGACTGTTAATCACATAATTAGCAGCACTGAAAGGCAACCAGAATTGCTTGTTTGATCTATAAGTAGTAATAAATGTAGGTATTTTTATTTTGATTCTACATAAAAATTCGGGACAGTCGATAAAGCCATTTAATATATTATACAAGAACTTTACATCAGCATTAAAGCTTCTAGACCTCAAAGACTGTAAATCTAGGGTTAAATCAAAATTGTTTTTGTGTATATTATAAATTTGTATGTTAAAAATTATTTTGGTCTAATTGTGCTTAGAATGTATCTATAAATAAATTAAATACCAAAATATATTAACTAAATTTTAGATTATTTTATCCTACCTGTAGGACTAGGCGCAAATCTTACTCTCACTGATTCTGAATGAAACCGAAGACAAATGTTAAAGACTATTGATTTACAAGTAGAACTTTTAAACAAATACTTATTGTACATTTTTTTATTCAACAACACGACATATACAACAACATAGCTTTTGATGAATTAAGAATTTTCTGTTTAATGGGAAACAGAGAGGTCTAATAAGATCTCATGATCGTGTAACTTCAAATAAATTGTAATACAACATCAAAACTCTGAAGTTTGAAGTATCAAGTATAAAGTAGACTGTAGAGGAATAAATATTAAAACAAATTAAAAATCCTTGGACAATAAGTTGATACTTGATAACTGATAACACGGTTGAAAAAAGGCGACAAAAGGGAGATATGACTTAAATAAAAATGATAAACGTTTACTCGTTTGCAAGCTTGCTAAATAATGTTATTTTTTTTTTAATTCTTATAAACCCGGCGTTTTATTTATAAATCTTACAGTAATTTATAAAACTTTAAAGTACTAAGATTTAAAACTATTAAGCGCACTTACTTTTTTTTGTACATTTTTTATATAAATATTTTTTGAATGGTCGTTTTTATAGGTCTATGATTTTATTATAAAAATGTAGTGAACACTGTAAAAAGTGTGAAAATTGCTCAAAAGATTTCTTATCATAACTCGAAGTCATCACAGCCGATCATCCGCTATCGGGTGTCTAGGCTGAAATCCGAGTAACCATGTATCCATTTTTTTCGTTTTTACTATTATAAATTGTACTACTGTGTCTTAAGTTCGTGAGTTAAACCATGCATTTAATATTGAATGCATACTAAATGCAATTAATTTTTTATAAAAACAAAATCTTTAATAAATTTAATCTTTATTATCTTGCTGTAAATTTCAGAAAAATCAGAAAACGGGCTGTAATACTATTAAAAAAAAGGTATTTTTTAATTTCACCAATACATAATATTTGGCTGTATAATCTTTTATACATTATTATAATAATGTTACATTATAATGCTACAGCTATAAGTAATCTTAATTTTCACGAGTTTGGTTAAAAACTGCCAATAAAAATGATAATATAAAAAATATATTAATCATTATATAATAAAATTTACAGATTAAGTAATATTAGTAACATGACCTAGGTAATATAATAAAAGTCACATAGATGGTAACGTCCTCTATGTATTTGTGTTTGCCAGTGCTATATTGGTGCATTGTGTGGGACTTATGGTACATGAAAGAACATATTAATCAGTTTGTCGTTCTCCACATTCACATGCTTTCTTTTCTTCACTAAAGCCCCAATTTCATTATTATATTTAGTTCTTGCCACTCCCAACTCTCATTCTATGTAGGGTTTTCTTCCTACAGTGGCCACAGTTAAGAAGTTGTTAAGTAGGCTGGATCGATTCTTCCGCTTGCAGCTCATCTTTCTATCATTGTAATCTTGACATTTTGAAGGGGATTTATGTAGGCCATCTGTTCTATGTGTATGAAACTTAAATGTCAAAGTCCTATCTAGGGTAATGCTGAAGTACACTGGATAATCAATGCACTGCAAAGTTTTTTATATACTCCGGTCACTTTAAGAAGATACCCGGGCCGCAGACCAAAACTCGTCCATCACCATGCAAGTTGTATCTGTAACGCACAGTAGGTAGTGCCGAACTATGACGATGTTGTGGGGTAAAAACTGGTCGCTGCTAACGCGACGAAGTATCTTGTTAAAGTGACCGTACTATAGCCATATCAAGGCATTTCTTGATATCACAGTTTTGTAGGTATAAGTCACATACCTGTGTTTGGAGTTGGTTTTAATTTATTACTGTCATAATAGTTGGTCATATCTTTTAGTGGATTTGTTAGTTTGGTTTCTACATTATTGAATATAATGTATTGTCTTGAGCTCCGATTGCTAGGTCGTCAGCATATAAAAAGTGTCTGTCTATTAGAGTGGGCTGATCATTTGTACACAAGTTGAAAAGTATAAGATCTAACACACTACCGGCTACCCTGTAAATAAGCCATTCTTTGGGGTTCTCTATTTAATCCATTTATCATTAAAATTCACAGTAAATCGATAATTTGTAGAAGTATATTATAAATTTAATTTTGTTAAATTAATTTGATTTTATTTACACTCACAGCAAAAAAATTGTTCAAAGTTAATACTTATACAATATTGTTATGTTTCTCATTTGTCATATATATTTTTACTTAATTAATGTTTATTAATTTCAGGTGATTATTTTAAATGTACATTATGATGCGGTGGTCTAGAACATCTAAACAGATAATTTCTGTCTTGAGGACTCAAGCATCAAAAATGTCAAATGTTAAGCCAGCTATTCCAGAAGAGCCTAAAACGATTACTAAAATTAGTAATACTAATAGTCCTACTAGCAGTATTGTGGCAGCTGCATTTGCATCATTGAAAGAAATTGACACAGCAAAAACAATTAAAAAAAATGTCTATTATATTATCAACAATAAAATAGACAACGCTAATACTATAGAAGATCTTCTTGGATTGGCAGATTCGTCAACACTTTCTAAATCACAAGCATTAAAGGTGATTATTTTCATACTTCTAAAATGTATGTAACATTTAAACAATAAACCTTTAAAAACATTTTAGGCGGTTTCAATGTTAGCCGATTGGGCAACTACAGGTAAAGCCAAATTGTCAGACTTTGAAGCTGACCCAAGATTCTTGAAGTTATGTAGATTACTAGGAAAAGAAAATGTTGGTAAAGAAAATACTTTTAGTGACTTATCTACCGTTCTTGGTATTACTGGAGATGACGAAGCTGCTAAACTAATTTCTTCAATTAGTTTACCTCAAATGATCAAAGTAATAAGAACCAATTATTTAATTGATTAAGCAGATGGTATTTTTGCTAAATTAACTGTTTCAGGTGCTTTCAACTCTTGCTGTTAAAAAAAAACGCTCGGCAACTTTAATGCGGTCATTAGCATTCAATATTGGTAGATGCTCAGAAAAACTTGATATCAAACAATGTGCCGATATATTGTACGCTTTAGCTGTGTTAAATTTTCCTGATGAAGTACTAATGGAAAAAGTTAGTGCTGATTTATGTAGTACCATATCTACAAATGATCGTCCTTCAGTAATTGGATCCATTATTACCAGCATGGGCATTTTACGACTAAGGGATACAGGTAATGGATTTGTGAATTATACAATTACTATTAAATAAATTATAAATAATAATTTAACATTTTCAAAATAAACATTTTATTTAAACAACATTAAAATGTCTAGACTTACTAGAATCTATATCCTCTTGGTTGGAAAATCATGAATGCAAACAACATATATTAGAGTCATTTTTGATAACGTTGGCCTATGTGAACTATAAAACAGTTAATGTGGACAATATATTTAAGGTTTTTATATTTATTTTCTTACTGTTTGTATTATACATGTAATATAAGAACTAATAAATTTATGTTAATAGGTGTTTGAAAATAACAAAATTGATGGCGTCAGTAATATAAATACATGGCTGGATGTGGTATGGAGTTTGATTGTATTGAAAAGAGAAAGCGACGATCATTTAAAATCTGTTTTATCTCCTGGTTTTACAAAAAGTGTGCTAAATCTAAAAGGTAATATTTCATGTGCAATGTGCATATATCAATAATAAATAGTAATTACCCTACCCTAGTTCCAGGCGAGAATGCAATGATCTAGCTTAAGTAGTGAATTAAAGTAAAAATATTATTATAGAAAAACTCTAAAAGTAAAATTAATTGATTTGTAATGGACTGCAGTTAAAGGAATAATATGACATATTGTGAAGAAATAAATTGGAAAGATGTGGTTAAATAGGGATGCCATCAAAAATATTATTAAATTGAATACTTAAACTGGTTTTGTAATTTTTAGATATTGGAATCATTCCTATAAAACTACTGAATGTTAATGGATATGCGACAACCAAAACACAATATAAAGGTAAAAATGTATAATATCTTATACCAACATAATGCCACACATCCTGTTTCTTGTGCTAAAACAAGGATTATTATTCTGAAAAACATCTCCAAACATAGTTGTCATATTAACATAATAGAATGATTAAGACGATAGATATTTTTCGGATTTCTTTTATTTCATAATTATTTTCACATAAATGAAAAACATGTTTTTGCAAAAAAATTACCTACACTGAATGCTCTAAGAGAGGGGCCTTTACACTAATATTTATTAAAGCATATTGCAATTTTTAATAATAGTTAACATTAAGAGGACGTCGCAGGTAAAGTGTTACGTATACAACTCCCGAGAGATGGCGTTATTCTCCGTCTCGGCGGCGGCGGTTTATAGTCACGGCCATACGAGTGCTGCGGCGGCGCGTTGTAGTATTATCAGAGCGGCACATTATTCTATCACCGACTGCCGATCTAGTAAAAACTAATATTATGCTGGCAACGTATGATTCGTCGCGGTAAACATTCGCTACTCGCGAGCTCGTGCGCGTGTTACAATCTCGAGTAAATCTTTTTTATAGCTACTGTTCATTAACATTTATATAACAATGGACAGAGTAGAAAATACAATACCCATCATAGTTTGAATCATTCTGATAACTTAATTACTTTATTTTAGCGTATAAATAATTTTCTCAGATATCAGAATAAACTTGATACCTCGTATAGCGTACTTACTTATTAACATTTATATTGGAGCATACTTATTTTGCATGTCTGTTACAATAAAATACGTGTTTCCAAATTTGCTTAGCCTATATTGGCCATGGTCGCATTGAATATTTTAGTGTTTTTTTTTACAGTATTATAGGTCACCAAACAAAATCATTAAAAATCAGTATTTTATGTAAAACATTTCAGCTTTCTGATAATTCATTTATAAATCAAAAATTAATAATTGAAAGCATGTTTATAAAAATTCATCAATAGAATAATAATTGTATAATGGTACGAGTATCCGTTATAAACTTTAAGTGCTGGACGGGTCATATATAATATTCTATGATTTATTTCATTAAATAATAATTATATATAAATCTAATACTATTTGATAAAAAAACAAAGTGTACATATGTAAATTTTGTATTATAATTTTTATCTATAAAACACAACACAATAGGAAAAATAAAAATGTGGCTTCTCTGTGCAACAAAAATACAGTATTTCTCAAGTAAAGTCGTATTTCTACAATATTTACAAATAATATAATTAGGTAAACTTAGATTATCTGTTGTTATCCCGAAAATTATGGTGGTCACCGCCGACATTATTGCGGAGTTTAGCTTTGTTATAAAAAAGAAAAAATAGAATACGAAGAATATATCATAATTGAAATATATTATGAGTAAAACTCTTTAATTTATAAATTGTAATTATATAGAAAAATAAATTATAGTATAAATGAAGAGTTAATTTGTCAAACGTTCCAAGTGCTAAAGTATAAAAATTGAACTTTATAATTTGATTTGTATTTTATTCACTAGCGGAAACATTACATATTTTTGAGTTTAAAATATGATTATTTTTTTTAATAAATAACTATTCCTTACTTGAAAATGTACAACAATTCTTTCCGGTAATGGATAAAATACAATTTAAATTATAAAGTTCAATTTTTATACTTTGGCACTTAGAACGTTTGACAAATTCGTTTTTCAAATATTTATGTTAGATAAATACGTTGTTAGTGGTCGGCATTGAATGAGGGGGGGGGGTGGCTTAGATTGAGAGTGAAAAACCGTCTATATACGAAAAATAAGAATATAGAAATTACGGACACCAGGTAATACAAAAAAAAAAGTGGAGACCCCCAAAAATCAAAATGTTGTTTAAAATACGCTACTGATCTATATGATTTATTGTAACTAAAAATTGACTGTTGATTAATTTACACATAGCAACTTAAAAATTTCCAATTTTAGTCTGAGGAGGGGAGGGGGCCCCACACTAATTTTGGTCTGGGGTGTAAACATTGTATTGTTGTTGTACATGTTTCGGTTTTTCGGAGAGGTATTTGAATATTTTTCCGATTTTTTTTACAGTGTGCAATAACCCCCCCTCCCCCCGTTCCCTAAATCATTTTTTAAATCACAATTTTTACAAATTATAATTTACTACACTTGCTACCTTTTTCATACAAGCGACTTAGCGACTGGCTTATTCAGCTAATTCTCTATAAAATAATGAACATATAATATCAAATATTAAATAACAGTATCGCTGTGCAAGTAAAATATAATATTGGTTTGTTATTGAGAATTGATTGTTAAAAATTGGGTTATCTGTTTTTACTTCAGGTAATAATATAATTGCGGTGTCACCGTTGACGTTATCGCTGTCGCCGCGCTACGGCAGTCGGCCCAAAACCGGTTTTCCTAACGTATAAAGATATGTAGTAAATTGACCGCTAGGCGCGCCAGCTCTCGACGTAATAATTATTATAAAAATTCAAAAAACATCCCTTCACACTTCAAATAGTACTCGTACGCTTTTGGCGGTAGAAAATTGTTTATAGTACCATATGAAAGATCAGAACTTTTTCTACGTGCCTGTAGAGAGTTTTTTTCAATTACTTTATTTACAATGGTTTTATGAACGTTTGAAAAAAGTAAAAATTCTTATTGAAATAACTATAAGTAAACAATTTTTTTTTGGAAATATGGCTCTATACGCACATAGTAGACATTCCAGGCTTTCTTTAAGTATCCTTAGATTTATTCTACGATTAATAGTTTCTGAGTACTATTTGTCCTCTTACGTCCTCTTAGCAAGTTTTGTACTGGTTAATATAACAGCATAGTGGTATGTATTTTTATGTTTAATTTTTTCTTTTAAAATTTTGTAATATTTACAAAAATATAACCTGTATGCATTATAATAATGAAAAAAAAATTAAGGCCCTTTTTTGTACAAAAAAACATGTTTCTTCTATTAACATAGTCAGATTTTTTTTGAAAAAATATTAGTTCTATTCTCAACAGTTGTCGAATTACGCATTTCAAAGTACGGTTCAAATTAGAATAAGTTGTATTCAACCAAAAACAAACAGATTATATAAGCTCATTAAAAAATAGTATATATGATGTCTTTTAAAAGAGTGCTTTGATGATAACAAAAAGAATATGTGAGCAAAAGTTATTAAGATTTTCAGACATTAAAAAGTCTATAAAGTTAACAATTAAATATATCTAGCAATGTAAAACAATTTGTATTATCTTTAATTTTTCTCCTACAAAGGAAATAGCTACAGTAATTTCGTTGAATTTTTCCACTGAGCATGCATTATTACAATGTTTACTTGTAGGACCATTGTTGGATTTGAATTCAGATTATTGTCAAGTCAAATTAATGAGATCCAAAGATAAGCAAGCTTTAATGGTCTCAATGATGGATGCATTATCAACTATGTTACCATCAATTAATTATGTAAAAACCGATGTAAATACAAATTTTGGTTTCATTATTGGTAAGTTTTAATTCATAAACAAATTTATAATTTAAGTAATAATAGGCATGCATTATTTTTATTGTTTTTATAATTCATTATACAAGGTGTGGAAATTAGTGAGAATTCTCAATTTTGATGAGTTATTCATCATTTACATGGACTTGTGCACCCATACCCTAAAAATACTCTCCCCCGAGCTAATGCACTTGTTCCAGCGCATTTTGTTAAGCCGTTCAAACCTGGCGTCACAGAGCTATGGATGACCTCCAAATCCTCATAGCAGTAGCCTTAACCTGATTCTCTGAGCTTGGAGGATAGCTAGAGTCAGATCAAGACTGTAGGGGGGGGGGAGAGTTGCAATGTTTTTTTCTAGTCAAAATCTATTGCACTGCAATCGTTATGTGAGCGGGTGCATTGTTATGGTGACAGGTCCTGGCCTTGCGCCGTCTTTCACCGATTACCGACCCACTGTAAAACATGCAGCCCATTCGTACACAAGACAATTTTTACAGGCTTGTTACTATTTTTTCCGACTGCACATCACAACACCACTAAACAATACTTCTAAAACTTGTATAGAATAAAATATAATTTTGATCACAATCAAACTTGGTAAACTGGTAAACAGCCTTGGACTTTCATAAAAAGCTCATTTCCACGGCATCAGTGTTACTATATGATGTGTTCTAGCAAAATTCTTGTTAATTGATTGCCACACCTTGTATATGTTATTATAATTTTGTATAATTCATTAGCATATTTACTATAATTTATAACTTAATGATGTCTTATTAATATTGTCATTTTTTTTTTTTTTTTAGATGCAGAATGTTCAATAGATTCAAAGTTGAATCCCATACCTCTTGATAGCACTACAAGTAGTAAAGCTGGCATACATAAAATAGCTTTTATGTTGACTGGATTCCACGATACGTGTCGTGGATGTCATAATGAACCTAATGGGATATCGGTTCTTAACACACAATTAGCTAAATCACTTGGTTACAAAGTATTATCGATTCCCTACACAGAGTTTGGACTTCGTGATACATTAGTCAATAGGGTCAAATATCTTAAAGAGAATATAAAATTGTTAATTAATGAACCTTAGTGTTAATAGTTTAAAGTTTTGCACTTTGTATGTTTTTATTGTGTTTTGTCTTGAATAAACCAATATTCAAATTTACTGAGCACTAATTGAATTACGTTTCCCACATTTGTAATACAAAAAACTGATCTCATATGCATCAGGTTTTGATCCAATTGAGCTGCACAACATATCGGTATACCACAAACATAGACTTTCAAATTTTGATATTCGGACTTGTGACATCATTGCTCTGTACGGTGAATGTTGGTGGGAATCTATAAGCAGTACCTGAAAAATAATTTATAATGAAAAATCAAATTAAGAATAAATATGACACATGCAACAGCATTATTGAGGTCTAATGTAGGAGCTTGAAGGATTTTATAAGTGGCAGTAAACCGATCCAAAATTTCGTGCCAAAATAATAAATATACAATATATACCTGTTACAAGTTGACACATTTTTTTATACAAACCATTTGATTTATGGCTTTTTTTTTTTTGGTAGCTCATTTGAGTCTTCAAAAAAACTGTGCAGAGTAGATTTTATTTTTTCTTAGTGACAACCATTAATTAAAGAATAGTATCACGTAAAATTAGATACCTTATTAAAACTTACAAGTTACAGTTGTAAGAATACGTGTAGTTGCAGGTACATGTGTACTTATAACTACAGTCTACACGAACTTCTACACGGCAATTTCGACTACACGCGTTACACATGTATTTACTTACACGTGTAATCGGTAGTTCTAATATAAATACAATTAAATAATCAAAAAAATAATGCTTATAATAAGGTATAGTATCGTAAGTAAGTGAAGTAACTGTAAAAAGTATTTTGCAAAACACCGCATTATTATAGGGTCATTCCGTGCCAAATAACCTGATGTATGTGCGAGTGGATTTTCTAAATGCCTCAAACTAATATATCCTATAGTTATAGTTCCATAAAATCGAAAAATAAAAATAAAAAATTGTTTGACATAAGCGATGCTGTATTCTGTAAATTCATTGTAAAAACGCCACAAGTTCACGACCACGATACTTAATGTCTTATTATGATATCGAAATGGAATTTCCACTGAACAATCGTAATTAAAGTGTTCTTTTTCATAATATTCATAAACACTTTTTTTCTTCAAATTTTTAAGTAGCCAAAAATAAAATAAGTTTTATAAATTTCATTAAATTTTTATGCTGACGCAAGGTCAAAATTTCAAAAAAAATTGTTTATTCTGATACATTTAATTACACTTGATTCATAATTTTTTTTATGTTGTATAAGAAACTTCAAAGTTTGGTTGCTATTTTACGAAAAAATGCAATATTTAAGAACCTATAACTTTTTAGTGCATAAACTAAAAATTCTGAAATTTATACAACACTTACTTTTTTGTAAATAGAACATCTGGCAAAAGTTTGGTAAATGGACATATTTTTACTAGTTGTAAAAACTTGAATAAAACAATTTTGTGTGTGTAGTTCTAAAATACGAAATTTGTAGGACATGCCTAGAGGAAGCATGATTTGCTGATAAGGAAAGTAATTGAGGAAAACCCAGTAGAGAGGACACCTCTTGGGAGACAACGGTTAGGTGGGAAGACTGCGTTAAAAGAGATGCACCGAGGCAGCAGAACCAAATAGCACAGCAGAGGATAGATATAGATGGCAATATGTTTATTTAGAGTTACGCTTTTGATTGGCCGAAACCAAGGAAGAAGAAGTGATATGAAACAAGATTCTATGACCCTAGAAGTTTACCCTCGGCTGCTCTGTGTAATTCTTACCCTAATTACAAGATCAAAAAGGTGAACCATGATTTATCTTTCAAAATAACAGTTTATTTAATTATGTTGTTTATTTTTAAGTTTCAAATTTTTCATAAAATTTGTTTGTTTGGTGAAAAAATGTATGTGGCTGTACTTTAAATTAATAAAAATTAAGGTTATACTAATATATCACCCTGAAAATTTCCTGGCGTAAAAACAAGCCTAATATCATTAAATCTTCGTATATGATACAAACCTGGGCATTATTTAAATAAAAATTAAATTTATTTTTCAAATATTAGTTTAATTTAAAATAAAAACTAACTAAATATTAGTTTTATTTTTATTTTCTCAAAATTTAATAACAAATAACAAAACTGAAATAAATTTTCAACCAAACACTATAATACCTAATACAATTTATTTATTTAAAATAAAAGATTAATTAAAAAACAATATATAATAAGTTATTACAAATAATTTAATATTTAAAACAACAAATATAAAATATATTTTATTACGAATTTATTTAATACAGTAGTAAAATTGATTTTAAATTTAAATAAAATGTCCAGGTTTGAGCAGGTTTAATGGAGCAAATATTTTGTTTACACTCTCATTTTGTAATAAGCAATAAGAGAATACCCAATTTTGAAGTTTACTAAATAGGTAAAACTGTTAAATATAATCATTTGTTTGATTCATACCTATTCAATAGTAACAAATTCAAAGTTATTGTTTAAATGTTTGCAATTTTTAGAATTATTTTTCCCCCGACTACCTCCCTTTTATCAAAATCTCTTTCCAAACACAAGATAATCCTCAACTAGGTAAATCAATTGTCCATATTATGACAAAAATATATAATATTATCCATTTATTTATTTTTATATTTTTTGACAACAACATGCAATCTCTATTTGATGACGGTTTTGTTACCTTACTAAATAGTAAACAAAATAAGCAAAAGATCTTAAAAAACTTTGTTCCATAAAATGTGTCAGAAAAAATAATATATTATATTGGAATATTAGGTACAAACTAATTTCTTATAAGATAGTTATTTTTATTTCTAAAGAAGCATTGACAACCAAGCTGTTATCAATAACATTCCTCCTGTAGGAGCAAATTTATTGTATGATTTATCTCCAGTTAAACCATTATAATAGCACGCACCACAAAACAAAACCGTGCCACTAATAAAAAGTCCACCAGTCTGAAAAACAAATATTATGTTGATTAATCAGAGTATAAAACTTTTTTAAACTATACATACCACTCTAGGAAATCGACAAAATGGAACTGCAAATAGAGCTAGCGTATGAAAAAAATGTAGTCGATTTCCAGTCTCATAGTTTTTTGCTTCTTCTGGACCAGCTTTATGTGATACTACTACAAAAAACATTTTTTTTTTAGTTATACAGTTCCAGTTATTTAATAGAATTTTCCTTACATAAGGTAAAGCAAACCAGACCACTCACTACTCAGTTACCTGGCACCTATTATTATTTTTGGAATAAACTGTTATGACCAATAAAAAAACAATTTTAGCAAAAATTATATTTCTCCTTTTAAAATAAAAATAATTTTTCTAAATGCAAAAACCACTTGCAATTCATTTTTTTTTTTAATTAAACATGGCTTATTAAAACTGCCCAATAAAGATAATAATAAACGTGGTTTAAATATTCATTTCTTTACTATATATACATAATACACACATTTAAAAAAGTTGATTCTATTCATGACTGTATTAAATTACAAGATGATTTAGATAACTTAAATGATTGGTGTTATTTAAATGGTTTGTGCCTCAATATCAACAAATGCAAAATATTATCATTTAATATTAAAAAATCTCATGTTCATTTTGATTATAAATTTAACAATGTTTCTATTGAATTACATTTGATTCTAAACTATGTTTTAATGAACACATTGATAGAATAACCAATAAAGCGTTTCAAAATCTTGGTTTCATTACACAAACTTGTACAAATTTTAATAATTTCAATGCCATTAAAAATATTTATTTTGCATTTGTCAGATCCTAATTAGAATATGCATTCTTATTTGGTCTTCTAGTAACATAGGGGTAAATCATAATGTTGAAGCTGTTCAGAATCGTTTTCTTCGTTTTTTAGCTTTTAAATTTAAAGTCGAAAGACTACAACATTCAGATTATAATGGATCCTACTTCAATATAAATCGTTAAATACAAGAAGAAGTTACCTTCATTATTCATTTTTATTAAAACTATTAAATAACTCTATAGATTGCCCTTATTTACTGGAGCGATTAAATTTTCAAATTAATACCAAATCCATCTGAAATCAAGATAGTTTTTTAATCAATAATGTTTCTAAAGCATACTCAAAATTATCACCTACGAATATACTGATGACTATAGGAAACACTATGGATATTAATTTTAGTTAATGTACTTGTTATATTAATTAAATGTGAATTTTATATTATTCGTACCAAATTTTATTGTATCTGTATCACTACACAATTTCATATATATTTTGTTTTGTAAATGGAGTTTTTTTGTTAATAAAGATAATAATAATAAGTTGCTTATACGTTTTTTCTAGAATAATACATGTGGTGTGGAAAACAAAAAAGGGACCTCTTGTTTTAGTTGGTATTCAAAAAAAGAACAAAACATTTTCAAACAATAACTTTTAAGTCATTTTTTGTAGATGCAAATATATACAAGGTCTCAAATTATTCAAAAATCAATCAAGACTCAGATAAAGCACCAACTTGTCAGAAAATTCTGACAAAAAGTCTTTTTTTGCTTTACTCACCACATAATATGCTAGATTCCACGAAATTAATGAAACTCATAAAATAAAAAAAAATGGATAATAGAGAGAACAAATTATTTTTTATGCAACTTTTTTATTCGAGTAATATAGTTATGAAGGTAGTTTGAATTGCACATATTAGTAAGACAAAAATGCTCGATTTTTAAAATTTGACGAAGCAGCAAGTATATCATATCACCTTCAATTTTGAATAGGCATTTTAACATGAAAAACTTTTCTACCATACAAACACACAAGCGTCGAAATTTATAAATAGGTAATAAAAAGATTGAAAAATCTCAAGACTAATTATTTTATATCACGTCATGTGTTTTGAATTTTCCAATTTTTTATAAATTGAAATACTCAGTTAATTTTTCTAAGCTCACAGTCTAATTGTATATTTACCATGAGCTCCATATGCTCCAAGGACAACTGCTGATGCACCTAAAATACCAGCAATTTTAAAAAAATAAATGTTTTTTCCAATCAATTGAATTAAATTTTGACTCTCCATGTTAATCAATGGTTTTTTGCCACTTGCGCTTGTTAAACCAAACCAATTGAACTGAAAACATAACATGAAAAATTCTATCATACAATAGATTATTACTTCAATTATATAATTATATTTCAGTGTCGTATTAAAAGGAGAGGCTGAGAAGGCTGCATCTGTTCACGTAATTTTAAGGTAATTATTAATTATAGTGCAGTGTCATTTTATTTTATTTTAATAAATCAAAATTAGCCTTTTAAACAAATTTCTGGCTATGTCACTGTCATATATCTTATTTAATTAGTTACAAACTGGTGGTAGCTGAATTGTGTATTATACTGTGTAAATAGTTAGAAAATAGGTTGCTATATAAGTCATAAAATCTCTTCCAAAATAAGAAAAACAGGTATAGGTATACAAATACTATTAAATTTAGTTAATCTACACTTTTGTAAAATCACACACTATAGATTTATATTTGTTACTTGCCATTGAATTTAACCCTTGAACTGAATTAGTGACCACTGGATTCTTATAAGCAACCCACTTCACAGTTTCTTGTAATGAATCGGAGTTCATAATTTAATCTTAAATAGCCTAAGAAGAAGAATTATATAAGTAGTAAATTAAATTCAAAAGTTACATACACAACTTACATTAATAGGCTGAAGAATCTATCTTTGTATCAGATATTATAATTTAACAACATAAAATGAAATGGTTATTGTTTTACGATGATCATTAAATTCAAATTATACAAAACGTAACTATTTGCTTTTATTTAAATGAAATAATCGCGATTTTAAACGAGCAACGAAAAAAAAACAATAAATTATTGTATGTGTGAAGTTAAAACAATGAAAAATTTATATTATGGAATTCATTTACATTTTACATTCACACTTGTGACAGGTGACTGGTGAGCGGCCAGTCAGTTATCAGCATTCAGCAAATAGTTACCACTTACCTGCTTCAAGTAAAACCTATGTTATTTACAGTACCAGTATAGCAGGTTACACCTCAAAGAGCCACTCGACACGGAGCCACTCGACAAGCAGCCACTCGAAGGGGTACCAACATATACAATATTTATAAAAAATGCACGATTATTATTCGTGTATGTTGTACGGCTAGTATTGTTTATTTAAAGGGGAAAACTTGTACATTTCATAATTAATGCAATAAGGCTTGAACTATTTTTAATTCACTGTGTGACCTGTCTCCTGTTTTGAGTTTTTTTATTTAAGTTATAATCAAATCAGTTTCTATTATTGAAATTTATATTAAAAAAAAACTGATAGTATATGAAACAATATTTACAATATTATATTATAGTGATAATTTACCAACAATAAATTGTCTCTTGAGTTAGTAAAAAAAAATGTTTTTCAAAACATACTTACACGTTTTATAATAAGTAAAGCAGAATGTTCATTGATCAAATTTCAATGAAATTATACATTTTTTTTAAATTATTTAATACCGATGTATTATACCTATCTATTTAAAACAATACATCGTGAATACCTCATACGAAACTATTCGATACCCGACAATAAAATTAAACACATTTACTTAAATACCTTACAACTTCCAATAGACAATAACACAATAATAAATTATAGTTAAATATTATTTAATTTTGTATTATATACTTCCATATCTGTGTATCATGTTATATATATGCCGAAAATAATAATTCCGAAAAAATTTAGAACCAAAACATATATTAACCGAAAATATAATAGCCGAAAAATATTTAAGTCGAAAATAATATTTACTAAAACTATTTAGGTCGAAAATAATGTCATCGAACGTATTTTAGCTGACACTTATTATTTGAACAGAACCTTATATAAGTTATAAATTATAATAGTATGCAAAAACCCTGTTACGCGCGCCGTGTGACCGCGTTGTGTCTACTGTCTACGCTATTTTTATAACATCTGTGATAAGTTCCATGTTATTGAAATATACAGCTATTTTTTATTTTGTGGTTGACATTTTTTTTCCATATATACTACCAATGCTTAATTGTTAGTATTTGTTTATACTTAGCTACACAATAGTAAATTCAAACAGGGACAACCTATGGTAGACTGGCGCCTTGCCGATGCTGAATAAAATGTTTATATATTATTAAGCCGGCAGTAGTTTTTTGGGGTCTAAAATAACCGGTATGGTTCTTTTGGATCTAGATATGATACACTCATCAGACTTATCACTAATGTCCAGCTAATATATAAAATAGATCACTCCAGTTTATGTGTAAACAAGGTCAGATACAAGGGGAAGGCTGGAGTTAATAGTTAATAGTTTATAATACAATCTATATTAAAATAAATATAAACCAAGTCAAACTATAACGAATTTATGAGTAGTAAATTCACATGACTTCTTAAAAACAATCCAAATTAACTCAGGTGCTATAACATAACATACATAATATTATCATTGATTATCATTAATCAAAGATATTATGTATAAATGCACAAAAATGTTCAAATATATTAAATTTATATTTATAAACACAGATTTCCTTATTTCACACTATTATAATATACAAGTTAAAAGTTAGCTCTAACTTAAATTTAAGTGACATGTGTATTGGCGTTGTCGATTGCATTTCTAGATGTTTTTATACATGTGCATAGAGTACACAAGGGTTTCACAAAATGATTGATACTTAGTGTGTGATATTATAATTAACGTGAAGTGGGTCTCATACGGTTAAAAAGTTATTAACGAAACGTTAATATTACTAAGTTTACTATGGTCAAGTTTATACAAACTAACGGTTGGTTACCAACTGCGGCCATCCATCACTGATCTTAAATAATTATAAAATTCGAGTTATCAAAAAATAAATTAATGGTTCAACACGTAGACGGTGGCCAGTACATAACAAAAGACTGCAAGGAAATAGTTTTTATTAAAAAAATTGATGATTTTACTGTTTTATCTATTTTTATTGTTGTTATCGGCAGTAATAAACATATAAATTATAATGTTAATCATTTGTTGAATAAAAACTAATAGTGTACATATTATTAACACAACGGATTTCATACAAGTTATTTTAATATTAAAGTTAGAAACAATTGTACATTATTAAAGAAAAATACTAAATTAATATAATCAAGTTGATAAAAAATGTTTACTAAATTATTTCCACTTGGCTTAGTTTTTAAATTTTTAACATAGTTGGAAAAATAACAAAATATAGGTAAAACATTATAAATAATTATGGTATAAATCTACTTTACCGGGCACTCTTTTTTTCGATTTTTTAAAAATCGATAAAACTTTTAATGCTGATTACGAATATGTAAAAATTTTGCGCCGCTCGCATTTAGTTTGGAAGTTACAGACTTTTAAAGTTCGCCGAAATCGACATACGGGCGCGCCCGGCACCGCAAGTCTACCCGCACCCGCTGGGTACTTCGTCCGTCGATCGCCGCTCGATTATCATCGGATTCCTCGTCTACCTGCCTCCCGCCCGTCGTGGCCCTTTTTTTTTTTACAAACATAATTTCATCACGCTAATATTTGACCTGGTTGGGATTTTGCTATAGCGAACAATGAACAATTTTTAGCTCGCCCTATGCACATTGTTGAGACTTGAGGATGACTTAGTAAATATTAATGTTTTATCGCGCCCCGCTAATATTATAAAGTATTACGGGCTAATACATGTTAATAATTTTTTATAATTTGGTTATTCATTTATATTTTATGATTCTACCTATTACATATTAATACAAAATAAATATATAATGCTGTTTTGCTACAAACTCTGATGAAAATTGTGAGGGACACACACACATACATTCATTTTTATATATATAGATGATAAAAATAGAAATAATTAATCAGATAAAAAAATCCAATTTATATAGATGGCCAATGGGATATAGTATAAGCTAAATGGGTGGAAAATACTCTGCTTCTGAGTTTTTAATAATTAGTTCTAAGTCAATAAAAAGTAAAAACCTTCATCAAATACTTTTTAGTTGTTTATATAATATATACATGGATCGTTCATTCCGATACTCATGAAAATGCACACAAATTAAACAATGTTCAATAACTTCATTTGTTTTATATTTAAAATATATTTGTAATATAATTGGAATACATGAAAGCAAGTTAAAATATTATTCAATTAATATTGTTGCAATATACATAATTTTTTTACCTATGTATTATATTAATAAATAAGTATCAATAATATAAAAATGTATAATTATTTATAATAATAGAGTAAAAGTATTTAGAAACAATAATTATTATTAATAGCATGAGTTAACAATAAATCCTGTTGAGTAAATTGAAATGTTTACAATGAACATAGTAACAATGTCTACTATACAATAGGGGTTTTAATAAAAATATAATATTTTCTACAAAGTTACTGTTTTTATTTTTATTGATATACAATTTGGAAATTACATTTTTTGCTATTACTCTGTTATAATATGTGGTGTCGGCCGCACAACATACACAAATAATTATCGTACATTTTACATAAATATTGTACATGTTGGTATCTCTTCGAGTGGCTGTTTGTCGAGTGGCTCCGTGTCGATTTTCGGTGGCTATTTGTCGAGTGGCTCCGTGTCGTGCTCCCGTATAGCAGCTGATCTATGACAACCTGTTCTGTTGGGTAATTTGATTATTTCTCAATCAAAAAAGAACAGTGTGTTCATATTATAGAAAAAAATTGATAGTCCATGTATAAAATAACATCATCTATAAAACTACAAGATTATGATCAAAAGTGATAACAGCTAATATAAAAGTCCAGTATAATTCGAATAAAAATACATTTTTTTCATTAATGGTCATTTTGACAGTGGGAATTGGAAATTGTTTACTAGTAATCGTTTAATTATTATTAATAAATAACGTGGAAGTTGAAATAAACTCATGTGGTTCCTATTTAGTTCTGTCTATTAGTTCTGTATAATTAAGCAATTTTTTTCCAACTACTATTAGCTTTCATAAAAATATCACAAAATTTGGATTGATTCTTAAATTTAAGATTTTAGTTGATACTACAATTTTTTTTTGCATAACTAGATTGTAGTTCGTGACAATCAACAATGGACATAGACATTCAAAATCGTACCGATTGGGAACACAGAAGGAAAATTCGTCTTGCTCAAGTAAATAATAAAGTGTACTGCTAGTTTTAGATATAAATAAATTGTTCATTATGCAATAATGTGTATATTAATTCACTACGACTGTTATTACGAAAAAATAGTAGGTATTCAACCACACATACTTTATTTTATGGAAAAAAAAACTATTAGTTTTCATCGTAACAGTCATCATATGCAAATATTATACTTCACAGGGCAGGGGGAAATACAATATTACTTGTTCTAACCGGCGTCGGTTATTTGTCCTTATAAAAATTGAACATAATTATAAAGAAATGTATTGTATAATCTGTAATCGCACTCATATAGGTTAGAAATCAGTCTAAAGATATTGCCAAAAAAATATGCGATCGTGTTCAATGCACATCTCAAAATGAATTAGAACACCTTCAGATAACTAAATTTAAAGCTGACCATAAGTACAAATCTCTTGTACGGAATAAACTGAAAAGTGACTTTAATTATTTAATTCAAGATATCGGCAATGGTTATTCATTAGCATCAGTTGAAGTAATTTGTATTTTATTTAATATTTAATTATACAATTCATTATTATGTGTTACTAATGATTTAAAACATAAAACGTGTTTTAAAGACTGATCCTAGCATACAGATGGCAGAAAAAAGACTAGTAAATCGGTGCAAAGCAATTTCTCGAGGGACTGAAGCTATGCAACGACAAAACCGTATTCTTGAAGAAAAAAGCACGGAAAAAGAAATGAAAGAAAAAAGAGTTCATTTTAATAAAACTGTTGAAAAAATTCGTTCTGCTCTTATTACAAGTGTACCATTTGTGTGAGTATAATATAATGAACTCACTAAAAATTGAAATAATACTAATAATAGTTAATAAGAAAAAAAATTTGTATTATTCTATTTTATATTTATTTAATTAGTATACAAACGTTTACAGGGATAATGAAGTAAATTCTTACGACGCTAACAAACATAATAAATGTTTATTACTTCAAAGTCAAACTATTTTAACAGAGTCCAGTATTCCTAGTTGGAACTATAAAATGGTAAGTACACTTACATGAATTTTATTTTTATTGTACATAGTTTAATTTAAAAAAAACACCACTTAGAACAATTCAAAACCATGGTCAAGAGTTATTGAATCTTCTAAAGAAAACAGAAATCATAATGATAAAAAATGTTTGTCCATTGATGGCTCTATAGAAAATAAAGAAGCAGAAACTAAAATTGCAAATTTAGAAAATGATGTAAATAGCTATGAAAGTTTAGTTAGCAAATTGAAAAAGTTATCTGCTGAAGAACTAAATATTAGAAATAAGTTACCAAAACACTCAGAACAGGTAATTTTAAAACTAGTTGGACTGTACAATAAAAATCAAAAATAATTTGACTGAAAATTTGTTTTTATATTTAAGGATATTTCAGTATCAATAAAAAATATTAATAAAAAGGAAAATGTAAAATATAATGATCAAAATTCAAAACTAGGATTTAGTGGCAATTCTCAATTAAATGAAAAACAAAGTAAACTTGATGGTATGTATGCATTAAAAAAAAATGTTGTTGCCTGGTAAAAGAAGCCACAGGATAGTCCTCCTCTTTGGCCACAAACTAATGACTGTATAGGAAATTCGTCTAGAAACCATCACATGATGGCAGCGTTGAGCCTTCAAGTTAAGCTACATGATGACGATACTTTCTAATTAAATATTTTAGTAAACAAGAGCAAACTTAGATTGAATCCTAATACTTCTATTTTATTTCAAACCTACCCACTTCTTTTCTGACATTTTCAATTATAAAAAAAAAAAAAAAAAAAGGCAATAGTTTGTTGATTGTTGTGCAAAAATAAAGCAAATAACATTAAGAGTAGTATTCAAAACTAGTTGCTGACCACTGAAAATAGTTTTAAAAAAATTATGTATGTTTCCAATAAAGTTTAAATGTCCATAAAAGTAAAAGCAATAAAAAATGGAATGATATATACCATGCTCAACAAAATAATAGAAAAAAAAAATTTGAGAACATTTTTTGTAACAGACATGCAGTGTAATTTTCAACAAAATTTGAGAGGGTCGTTTAAACGACCGTTTGTATTTGGCGTTTTGACCCATATGCTTCAATACTGTAATTAAATGTGTGAAATTTATTTCAAAAAATAATCATACTACTTTTTTTCTTTAACAAAATCAAAATAAAATGTTTTTCTTATTATAACTTTTTATATTATGATTTCAGCTAATGTGATTATAAATCAATCACAATCAAGTTCATCAATGTCTCCGGCATTAGTGAGAACTTCACCTAAAAGAATAGAGGTATCCATTAAAAAAAAACATTCAAAAAATGAGCCAAAAGTTGATATAAAAAAGCGGTCTACTTTAAAAACAAATATGAAATCACCAAAAGCGAAAATACCTTTAAAGAACATTAACAACATTATTGAACGTGTTAACCAAAAAAAAAGATCACTAGCCAATGAATTGTCGGCAAATATTAAAAAAACTGAGAATTTAACAAATACAAAACAAATACCAATGATTAATAGAACTAAGGGTAGTGATGATTTAAAAAGAAAATGTAATACTGTAAGTTTTGCTAACCTTCCTCAATCTAATTATGATTCTCAGTTAGAAGCATCAAAAAATAAATCCAAATGGAGTGGTTTAAAATGTGACAACAGTGTTAATGTAGAGTTGATGAGACTCATAAGTTCACTGTTGAAAATGTCTCCAATTGATATACATAATCTCTCGGTATCGATGAGTTCGGATTCTAGCATCAGAACTGAAGCAAGTGTAGCTCAAGATTCAAACGATAGTTTACAATATTATAATGATTTACTGAATACAATATCTGAATGCTTAAATACTGAATTATCTGATATCAGTCAAGATACTGCACTATATTCACCTATTAACATTAATACATTAAATCGCTTGCAAAAGATATCTGAATATTATTTAGAAAAAACAGAACAAATAAGAAGTATTTGTGAAGAAACTCCTCAATTTACAACAAATGATAATTTAAACAAAACTTGTATTGAAGAAACCATAAACCAAAGTGAAACTGATAATGAGTAAGTAAAGACGTATTTAATGGACACCAGTATAATAATCTATAATTGAAAGGTCCAAGGGTAAAACTACTTTACAGCAATTTTTTTGAAAATGACAGCAGTGCTATCTCATACCTTACAAGAAGTAGTATCACTATGTGCGTTCAGAGTAAAAACACATTGAAACCATACAATTTTGGTGATCAAAGGGAAAAATACTACTTCAATACTTCACTTTCCAATTTGTATTTCTCTGAATCAAGTTTAGTGCTATAAAGTGATTTTACACCTAAACCCTTAAATTAATTTCAATAATATGACAATTTATTATAATTTTTTATTGTGATAATAAATGTATGCCTTACTGTTCATATTTTAGTGAAAACATTGACAATAGTTCTTTAGTGTCTTCAAAAGAACCAAATTATGTTCTGGAACATATAAACACACTTTTACAACAAAAAGGACTTATAAGACAAAATTATGAATGGCCGTTATTTAAAAATGACAATAGCGATGACGACAATAGAAGTTTAACTGATCAGCTTTTAGATATAAATCATTAAAATTCATGTAACAAATAGTACGATTACCATTCTATTGTATTGGAGAAAAAGGTAAATACTATTTAAAACTAATGTAAATTTAAAATGATCACTAATTTGTGTGTGTGTATATATATTATATTAAGTCCTGGAAAACTAATATTTGTAAATTGACTTAAAAAATTATAATTTAAAATAAGACGTTGCCACTTTTTTTAAATGAATGCACTTAGCAATGTAAAAATATAAAAAATTTATTTAATTAAAATTACATAAATAATTTCCTAACTTTAATGTAAAACTATGGAAATACAAAGTAAATGACTTTTTTTTTTAAACAATTGTTAATATATTTTTAGTTCCATGCTAAATCAAATAATATTAATTAATAATTTTATATATTAGTTATTTGTATACATTTATAATAATAATTAAACTATTGTTTGATTACAATTACCTTTTTTTAGCTAAAAATATGTCACATTTATTGTATAATATGAATTTTATTTAAAATACAAATAAATTATGGAACAAATATTACATTATTTTGTTCGACCATTAAAAAATTACCGGGATTTTTATTTTTTTTTCCTACCATGACCAAAAACATTTTCATATTAATTTTTAATTATTTTTATTCCCTATGGTTATTTCTTACACTAACTAAACAGTTTAACAACAGAAAATAATAAAATTACAAATCAGCATGATGTTTGCTTGTATAAAAATAAAATGTTCTTAATTTACTAGAAACATTTTTTGTTATTATATGCATATTTAATACTTATATATTATATATTAATATATACATTTTTTGAAACTTACCAACAGTTAGTGAAGCCTACACAAAGTTGGTGATTGTATAATTGTTTAGTTGTCTAAAAAATTGATGTTAAATTGATGTCAATTTTTATTAAATTGTGGTGCACGCTAAGCAGCACTGTGTACCGTATTTCCCAAGCTTTGTATATAAGGTTAATAAAAAGCCATAACTATTTGGTAAAATATGAAGCCAACCTGTTAATATTACATTATTTAGACAGCCGCAGAAAATGTTCTTGGATTCACATTAGAGCCAGTTAAAACTTATGACTATGGTTTCATGAATTTTAGTAAAGGTAATTCAGTCATACCTAAAATAACGTGCATTGACGTGCATGTATAACATGATGATAAGTCTGATGGAGGATGTACACTTAACTTGGCATTTTAAGAAATGTTTTTGGTATTGATATAAAGAAGATATTTTATTTGTGCAGTACTAAGGTGAGTGTTTACACTGTCCATTAAACTTGCACAAATTTTATTCTGCAGTTTGTACTTTATTTGGGCGGTTAAACAGATCATGTGAACCGCCTTTAAAGGAGTGTTTATTCGTTTAGTTTTTTTTATTCAAACAGACTTGTACAAATATGATTATCTGATCGTGTAAACTGATATTTGGACAAAATTAGATTTGTATAAATGATATGCGAATTTTGTCGCTGCTCGAAAAGAAAACTATGGTTGGCACAAATGAAGACTGACATTTGAACGTGTAAATATGATGTTTGTGCAAGTATTGCGGCTGAATTAGTACAAGCCAGTTTCCACAAATAAAACTGAGTGTGTAAGCCCACCTTTAAACCTGCGCACATTAGGTCAAAATATCTGTGCTTATTTTATACAAATGTGTATAACTTTCTTCAGTGTTTCTTTGTTCAAAAAATAATCTCTAATGAGTATTATTGATTATAATTTATAAGTTTCTTTTTCCATTTTAGTATTGAGTACTTTTTCATTCTTAAAGTATTCTATTACTAGTATTGGCCACTAATGTTGCAAATTACAAAATTTGGTGGTTTTTATTTTTATTAGAAATATAATTTTCTACTTAATTATACATAAAAAATAATTTAACTCCTTTAGCCATAATATTAAAAAAATATTCAAGCTAAATATATGACATAATTTTAACTTAGCCTAAAGTAATTTGGTTTTTTTGTAAAGTAATTTGTTGAGTAAAATTATTATTTTTTTTTTTTGATAAATTCTTTTATTTCTGTTTAAAATAATTTATATTTAAACCCATTAATTATAATAGATTCTACTATTCCAGTTTTGTTCAAGTATTTTTATTTTTTTAGGAAATATGTCGTATTGAGTGAACATCAAAATAAGTTATTTTTTGTAAGAAGTGTATTGGCTGAACCAGTCAGATGAAACTCCCATATAAATTAATTTTAAGTGCTACGAAACAAAAACTGTAACTTGTAAAATAATTCAACCATAATTTTGTTAAAATTTGTAATCTGAAAGAGTAAATTAAATAACCTGTATTAAAATGCAAAATGTAGTTATTAACTTCCTACTTATAAGGAGATATATTTATATATTGTAAAACATGTTATTTTGAGAACATATAATTATTTGTTTAGGTGTCAATACAGAGGTAAATCGCAAGCAGTGTGTGCAACAGTATGCAGCCAATGATAAATGCTTAACTCCGTTAGACCGTTCTTTAAGGAATATTAACAATATGCTTGATTGGATTAAACAAAAAAAGCGATTGTTGCTCAATGAGTTTCACACAAACCATCACCATCAACCCATTAACAATACTCAATTAACAACTAATGCTGAAACACTTAACATTAGTCCTTTAGAAGAAAATTGCAAAAATCATGCTGGATTGCCAAACTCATTTTACAACAGTGCCCTGAAGACACTAGAGGAATATGTAAGAAATAAAAAATACAAAGAGAGTAAATCAAACAATAATAACACTTGGATCAATATTGAATTGATGAGTTATATATGTAATTTATTAAAAATGTCACCAAAAGAAATAGAAAATCTACCAGTATCATCTACTACCAACTCGAGCGTTCATTTAGAACAAAGTATTTTGGAAATGTCAAAGGCTAATTTGGAATATCACAATGACATTTTAAATTACATATCCAAGTGCTTAGACAGTAACATGTCAGACATAAATCCAGACCGGGCTTTTAGTAAGCCTCAGTACATCGGCTTATTGGAACAGTTGAATAAACTGGCCGATTACTATGCAGAAAAGGCTCAAGAAATGCGGAATATTTGCTTGGAGTCTCCTAGGGTCAAGATTAATGCATCTGACATAGATGCTGTTGAACAGAGTTCAGATAAAAAACATGGGTTAATATTTTTGCATGATATAATTAAAATTAATCAAGACAAGTTTTCAAACATTTAAATACTAATTAATTTCAGGGATCGAAAATCATCCTGTAGCTTGTCTTCAGAGTTGTCTGCTGACGGTGCATATGTGTTGGACCATTTAAATACATTGTTGGAAAATAGAGGGTTGATACAAGCAGATAATGAATGGCCTATGTTTGGCAATGATGACGAAGATGACAGCAGGAGCTTAACTGATCAGCTCTTAGACGTGAAACCCAGGATCAATAAAAAAGATGGCCCAAACTTAAATGATGTTAATAGTAATGAAAAAGGTAAAATAAAAATCAGTTAACGTCTTTACATAACACAAAAAAACAATATACGTTTTTTTATTATTATTACATTTATATAGGATTTTAATGAATGGAAACTGGACTTTTTATGTTGTAAAACTTGGCTGTGGATTTTAGTTTTTAACCAATATTCTTAATTGGTAGTTTCCGTATAAGGTATTTAATGTTTTATTTAAGTCCTGTTTGTATACATTAAATGCTCTTTCAGATTCACAAACTTTAAACAATTTATATTAATTTTTAACCTAGCAGTTAGCAGTTATTACATTAATTGTATATAGATGTTAATTAATCATATTATTAACAAAAAAGTATTGAACTATATTATTGCACATTTCTTAGCTAACTCATGCTTGTATAAATAATGTTATGATTTATGTAATAATAATCAATATACTTAAACAACATGGTATTTAGAGTAATTTACTTTATGTTATTATTAATGATGAATTAATAATATTTAATATATGTACCGTGTACAAGGAAAGATTTTACCCATGTACTCAAACCTTTATCTATAACGATATAATATGTAAATCAATAATAAGAATTAATGGGAGGGGGGGGTTGGTAATATTATATAATGTATGTTAATGTTACATGTATTAACTGGAGGTTACCTATTAATTGACAAGAACTATACAGTGTAGATTTTTTTACACATCACAAAGATGTAATTTTTATAAAAACAGCTTGAATTATAACATGTTGGATAGTAGTTTTAATAGAAAATCGCAATATGAACAATTTGTGAGTAGAATATTTTGTAGAACTTAATATGTTTAATTTGCACTTAAAAAGTAATAAATAAGAAATCATCAAATGTGTATAATCATCATATTACTTAATGTATATACATTATACACTGTTGACCAGAAACGAGGCTACAGTAGGAAGCTAATTAAAAAAATCCTGTATTTAATTATGAATCGTAGCATATTTTGTGAATAAAAAAAACCCTTAATTACAAAGCATATACCAAGTTGACATATCAATTAATACATTCATCATCATGTAGCTTAACAGGCCATGAAGACCCCACACTGCCATCATAAGATGGTTTCTTGACGAATTCGCTGTCCGCCACCGAACTGGAGGATGGCGCACGCTACTAACACACTGCCACCTTACCCTTTATGGCACTCGCCCAAGAAAATTTATATATTGGTGGTCATATAATTTAAAGCAGGGAGTGGCACTTACTTATACCTACTAATAATGGAGAAGACAAAAAGAAATGTTTTTTATATATATATAAAAACCCTTACAGACCTAGGATTTTTTTTTTTAGCCAATCTATACAATTTTTCTTTGAGAGCTATTATTGTACTTAAACAATAAAATTTAAAAACAATTTTATTTGATTAAGGGGTGAATTAATCCATACTGATTGTTATGGGTATAAATTAATACTATCAAATTGTTTTCGCCAGTTATTACAGTAATTATGGTATACAATTTATGTTGTAATGACTTCTGAACTCAAATCATGATTAAACTCGGAACTCAGTGTATATTGTTTTATAATATACATTAGAAAGTTAATTCACCAAATGTTACTTTGTTTTAGCTAATTTTTGTACATTAACATTATGATGAACTTAACCATTATATTAATATCAATTGTAAAACATTCAAATATTTATGCAAGCATAATATTTACTAGAAGTTAAGAGGGTAGTATTTTTTTTCTCAACACTCATCCATTACTTTATTTACATAGCTTAAAATCTGTGTGTAATATCTAAACATGTCTTGTAAATATATTTATATACACAACATTTTTTGCTCAAAAAAAAACTCCTTAATTAAAAAACATCATCTTAATTACAGAAAATATAATATAGTTCGCATAATATATTTATATATAATAATAATAATAATAATAATAATAATAATAATAATAATCATAATAAGTAAATCGAAACATAATTTTATACTCAAGTGGTTTTAACTAAATTAGTTTTTTAAACGATTAATTTTTTTTTTTTTTTTATAATTAAAGATAATGAAAAAGAACATAAAATCATTTCTAAAATAGCTAATAACCAACTAAGATATAAAAAAATGATGAGCATAATTTACAACAATCATTTGAGAACTATGGGAAGCGAAAAAAAATTAACAAGTGAAAAAAAAACTCTTACAATGTTTAAAAGGTATAATTATCTCAGTAAACCAAATCAACTAAATTCCACAAAAAAATATATATAGAATAAAATTAAAGAAAAAATAAACATTAATGATTTATATACATTTTACTATTGCACAGCGACTACGCTCTCTTAAGTGATAAAAATTGATAATATGTTCTCCTTTTTTTTTATGACAAATGAGAAAAATGTGTCAATTTATTATTTCGAAACTAGCAAGGCCCCGATATCAGTATTAGAAAAATAAAATTACTATACCTTTAATTAAAGAATGTACACATTGTTATATAACTACTGTGGAAGTTTATTTATACATATATATTTATATTTGGATAAATATATATTTATATATAATTGGTACATTCATTATTTTCATGCGCTTAATGTTCAATTTCATCTTGATTAAATCTTTTGAATTTTTTCCCCGACTACCACTGGATTATTGCGTCTAATTTCTTGCGCTCCAAGTTCCCTGTAGTCAAACGAACAATTGTGCTTGTCAGAGTATCTATGAATGCCACAAAACAGGCCACCGCAACGGCATTCAAATCCTAAACAAAATAATAATAAGTAGACGATTTCATAATTGAATTTCAAAAAAAAAAAAAAAATTTATAATATCTTTTTCTTACCTGTAAGTCCAACTTTTTTACGACACATAGCACATCGATTTTTCTTTTTAGATTTATCTTTGTCATCTTCGTCATCTTTTCTACCATCGTCCATAAGACTACTGTCATTAGAACTACATGCAAGTCCATTGTCCAACTACAATAATATTAATACAAATTAAAATCAGTCATATAAGGAAGACAAATTGCAACAAAAATAAAAAATTGAAATTTACATCTTTCTTAGTGTCTGGCACTAAAATTGGGGTAGTAGCTACTGGTGGTATTTGCAGCACTGGTATGGTGGGTATAGCAGTCTCCATCATGGTCTGAGCAGTGACTGAAGGTGGTGATGGAGCTGTCTGTGGTGGTGCCTGTTTCTTTTTGAGCGCTTCTTTATAACACAAAGAGCACAGGCCATCTGTAGATGGGTTGCCATAGAAGCCACAGCCACCACGACAAAGTGCCTGCATCGAGTTGGATTCTCGTTCCATTGTGCAATTATTATTTTTTAATTTGATACTTAATGATAATCTGAACGGCTTTTGATCACCAACAGAAATTACCTAAACAAAATAAATAGAATGTAACTAAGTAACAAAAATTGTCAGTTTTATGAACCACTGAGCAAAAATATTGTACATATAAAAATTTGTTATATACATAAAAATGATTGTATACAAAAGTAATTCTTTACACTTTGATAAGAGTAATCAATTAACCACTATATCTTTGTACATGTAGACATCACAAATTTTATCCAAATAAAATGAATTACTAGGATTTACTTGAAGGTTAAGAACTCTCATAACAATGATAAAAAAAAATTAAAGATTAAAGATGAGGAATTTCATTTAAAAAACTCTTAAAAGCAATGAAAAATAAAACATATTGATATTTTACCCACATAAATAACAAATAAACAGTTAATGTATGCAAAACAAACCATTACCCACTCTACAATCTACTTGCTAATCAGGTTTTTTTTTTAAAACATTGAATTTCACACCGTCACATTTAAAAACTGGTTTCTAAATTAAATCTAAAAAGTTATAACAGAAATTCATAAATATATACACACACACGCGTCGTCACTATTGAAAATTATGATGCTGCAACTTCAATAAAATACGTTGAAAAAGTAATAGCTACAAAATTAATAACAGAGCCAAGTATCCAAACTTTAAAACTTTTTACACAATATTCATACATTTATAATTAATACCTTCGAAGACTTTTTGTTTTAATTAAGAGCTAGAAATTTATGTTCTCCAGTAATTGTCTTTTCACTTCTATAATAAAATTTTTGACTTGAAGTTTATTATCGGCTTCTACAAAATCGCAAATGGTATCTAGTTAAAACTAAAGGGTCAAGTTTTCGAACACAACCTTTCAAATTTGGTAAACTTTCAAAAGTACTAACATTAAAACTATCTTTTATCAGATATATTTTTACAAACACTTCAAAAATCACAGAATTGACTAAAACAATTATCTTAATAAAACCTTACTTAGTTCAAATAATATATATATTTTGCTAATTTCTGTGCTTTTATATCCACAATTTTGGGTAAATTAAAATTTTAAATGAAATTTAAAACTTTAATTTTTAGGTAAGATAATAAATTAATTCATATTAATACATATGATTAGATTCACTTGAAATATTGTTGAGCTATAAACTAGTACAAAATGGTACTTGTTAAAAACATAAAAATCTATAACTTGATATATGCCAGACAAGTCATTATTTTTTTTGTACGTTATGATTGAATAATTATTAAGAACTTAGTAAACAATGTACGATATTTTTTAATACCTAATATAAAAGCTATTATATTTAATATAATTTACAGTAACAAGGGGTTGGATTGTATAGAATTTTGATAAAAAAAATTAATAAATTACTTTCCTATACTGTACGATAGTTCATCTTATCAATAGAGAATGTTAAAGCAAGTATGATAATTGTGCAATGTTAGCTCTTCACCATGGTGCAATTAAACCAACGTTACATTTAAATTTATATTATGTTTATTTATTATTATGTTCATGTCATGTATTTATAAGATTTAGATAAACACCTTCTGTAGGAGGTTCTTTAACTTTTTAGATGGGATGCCTATTTTTGGGCGAAATTCAATTGTGGTGCTCTGCTTTCTCTGTTGGCAGACACTACTTAATATTTAATAAAATCTATTGTAATTGTATATACTCAATGTTGTTTATACAAGAATACAGTCGGGAACATACATAATTTTTCTAAAATTTGAATTTAAATTAACAAAAAAATAATTACTACTATAATTGTATTACTTTTATTTTAGTAAGGCCTGTGGTGCCTCTGAAATGGACTTGTTTGTGCCTCTAGCTAGGCACTAATACTCAGTTTGGGTATCAGTGACCTACTGGAATAATTATACAAACTAAAACGTAATTACAGAAATACGAAAATTGGAGGTCACTGATTTTGAGAAGGTCACAAGACATGTGATAAGTGTCAGAGTAAATAACTTTAAAATGATAAATCACCTTCATTAAAAACTGCTTTTATGTGAATCTGTTATTCCGAAATAGTGATATGACAAGTTAAAATCATATTTCATTAGCTATTAAGCCCATAAAATTTCCTTAAAATCCATTTTCAATAATAATGAATACTTATTTTTTACATCAAAACGTACCAAACAATAATTGCCGATTCATTAAACAAACTAAGTATGTGATTAATATAAAATAATAATAAAGAATTTAAAAAAAAAGAGTTTTTTACCTTAAACGTCACGCAATTGTTATTATAGATTGATTTATCACTGGTTGTGAAACAGACGAATAATATTGCATTATAACTCCCAAATAAATGTCACGAAAACATTGGTCTTTTTTTAATGAACATCTGAAAAAAAAATGTAATCATAAGTCAGGCATATTTTTAGAATATAAATGTATGAGGTTTTGAGAAATATTGCTTAGGTATACCCTCTGCTTTTCAATCTTCCATAATCAAGGTTATATTTTAAATCAATAAATCTAAGATATCAGATTTTTGTGTCAATAATAACATCAGGTATCTAATAATAATTACAGATGATTGGAAACTCTGAAACCTAGAATATACTTGTGGACTTCCATTAAAAATTTAATATTTTAGAGAAAAAAAAATTGAATTTAACATCCAACCAATATATTCTTAACAGGAAACAGGTGTCATAAATATAATTTTTTTAATTTGATAGTAATTATATTCTTCAAGTGTTAAAATTTCTAATTCTATGCTATTCTCAGTTTATTTAACAAGCATCAAACATTTTAATCTTTGGCTATAAATGTTTCTATACAATGTATGATAAGCTATTAAGTATTGCTACAGATGACTTAATTTCTCAAATGCTAATACACCTGTGCTTTATACCATCGATAGATAGGCACTACAATGTTATGTTAAACATATTATGTTTTTAATCTATCAGTCATTTACTTGTGTAAGCAACCCGTGTAATTAATACAAAACATTTATTTACCTTGCAAAAATGTCGTGTAATGCTATTTTTTTTTTTTTTTTTTTTAACAGGTATAAACAAAAGTTTAGCATAGTTGAGTAGAGTATTAATTAATTAAGCTAGTTTTGTAGAAATATAACATACAATTAAATTGTAACTGTTAACGACACAAAATTTTATCACTTTATTTACTATAGAGTATAGTATTAGCAATTAGTACTTACTCGTCTATATGTGCAATTAATAAGGAAGAACAGCCTATTTATTTCAATACCAAAAAACACTAATGAATCGTTATCTGTAACAAAAATAAAAGAACATAAATAACACAATAATATCTGAATACATAAAAAAAAAAAAAAATCATAATGACTGCTAAAAAAAGTAAAAATTAATTTTTCCTCTTTAGGTGATCTATTATCTATTACCTATTTCTAATTTTAATCCATTTTAATACCATGAATTTTGTTTGAATAATACAATTATTTTTATTTGAACAAAATTTGATGAATTTAAGTCAATCCTGTTAATAAACAAACGTAGTTTGGTTGAGCAGATACTAGTTATCTAGTGTTCAATGAACAATCATATCAAACTTTTTAGTTTTCTTTAAGTAGTTAACTCCCATATACATTAGATACATAAAAAAGATCATAACCTAATACAAGTTTTGATAACCTGATAACCTACCTAATAGTAAATAGACAATAGTTTAATAGATATTTTCTTCCTAACAAAAATTTAAATAAAAATTTATTTCTAAAATGTTAAGTAGCTAAAAAGAAATTTTGACGAAAAAATTCAAATATTTTCGGAAAATTAAAGGAGAATCTAGACATCATCTATCTGAACATATTAACTTATACTCGAAGACAATATTATATCAGAATTAAACTTAAAAAATCGCGACATTTATTGCTTGAAATGCCTGCACATGTCAACCACACGCTGCGCGTGTTCTTTGTTAATTTACGCCTTTTGTTAATAAATCATCGGACTGAAATAAAATGGCGAGTCTTTAACAGAAATCGAAAAGGAAAATAACTAATAGTAATAAAAACCCATTAAAGGTATAACCAATGAAATCGGCGTGCTAATTTGTATTATTAAATGACGAAATAATACGAAATACTACCTAGATAGGTAGAAACAACAACAACCCAGCGTTGGGGACTAACAACGACGTAACGATTTAACCAAAAACGGGAAAAATAAACGTTCAACTAATAACAATAAAAACGATTAATGTCGACGATGTGTTCGTAGCCCGTCGTCATAAGGTAATGGAACTTTGTATCGGTTGTGCTTAAAATAACAAAGAGACTACGAGAGATATTGCGTCGTCGTCCACTGATTAGGAGGAAGTGCAGTAGTGTAGGCGCGTTGGCTACTCGACAATACAAAAAAAAAAACATACGAGGAACACCCATGTCGGGCTGTACACTCGTAGATATCACCAACATTCTTGAAAAATCTCTGGTACGCAAAAAAAATGGAAATTATAAACGCAGTTATTCCCACGGATATTTCAGAGAAAATATTAGTCAAATTTTTGTATTGAAACGCACTAGTGTCGGGTGCGGAAGGCGACGAGTGATGAGGGGAGGGGAGGTTGATTTCCGCGGTTGTAAAACTACGGAGAATAACACCAAACGGACACGGGTATAATATACGGGTTATTTACAAAATTAAATTTAAAAAACCCAGTTTATTCGCCATGTGCACTTACGGCGTGTTCAAAAACGCAATGTGTGGTCGCGACACAATGGTTTATGGGCCGTCAAGGACGTGTGTCGCGGCGTTGGCCTCGGGCCCCACTGTCCAGGCACAATTCGTGGACGGCCCAAAGGCTATCCAGACGAGCACCTAGGTTGCTCCTACAGGAGGAAAAATAATTTTCCAATAAAAAAACACCGTGGACGGCAACTACACCTGGGCGCGACGACAAAACGACAACCGCACACAATAAAATGGCGACGGCCAATCTGTTGATCGACGGGTCCACGAAAAAAATGTCTGCCGTTCGGTACTTACATGTCTTGTTTTGTCGTACGTCCCGTTCCTTTCTGCTGCACAACGCGTCGAAAACTACACTCGTTGTTCCGTGTTTGTCATTTGCGCGACGCTCGTTTATTTCGCCTGTCGAAACGACTGTGTGAGTCTTTGGTGGTGAACGCACAGCAGAGAACAACACGGGACGGGAATGAGTATATAAAAAATAAAAAAATTGTTAATCACACTCTAGGGGCCACGCAACACTCGTCGAACTCGTCGGGCGAAATGTCGACAAATCAGAAACGCGTATCATATCACAGACGAATGCGGACCGAGCACACACAAAAGGATGACTATCCGAGCATGCGCGCACGTACAATGACTCGTCGTTTCCCGGGGTGGGAGGCGGCCGACAGTGTGACCACCGTCAGGGGGGACAAAACCAATTATCTGGCCGTCGAGCAGATGTTTTGTGACGAAATCCAGACAGCCGACCACAAAACATTAAATATTATGTATATATATATATATAGTGTGTGTGTGTGTGTGCTATGTATGTATATACTTCGCTTGCAAAAATAAACACACACCTTTTCCGTTCTCCTCCATCACACGGCTGCCCCCATACATATTAAGTACATGGTGGGGAATCCAATGAAAATAATAATAATAATAATACAACGGATCGACGCGTGTAAACTGTAAACTGTAAAGAGGACAGGAAGAGTAGCCTTGATAAGTTTTAGCACATAGTAGTGGCCTTTAAATTATACCGTGTACCACTACAGGGTTATTTCTGTTTCGCATATGTTGTAGATTTATTTCCGAAAATGCCACAACTGTCTAGTTGTTTTTCAATCAATATACCGGTTAATAATATATTTAATATACATTATAATTTATATAGTCCCTCATAATTGAAGTATGTACTTATTATATTCAAACACGAGGGAATTTATACACACGATCCCTTTACACAGTACCATTATGCATTGAGATTTGAATATAATTAATAATGTAAGTATAATAATTTTAAAACTTACTTATTTAAATCCACTAATAGTAGGGTAATCCACTAATTACCCTTGAGTCAATAAATACTTTTTTTAATACAATTTTAAGAAATTTAAAATAAAACAAATTTATAAATAATTTGGGACTATATTGAATAATGAAATATAAATATAATATTTTAAGCTAAAATGTTTGCAAAATAATAAAAAATGATAAAGTTGTAAAAATAGGTATGTTTTAGGAAAAACCCAATTATTTTTGTGATTGAATTTCTCGTTACTAATGTAAGATACACTTCAACAAAAACATTATCACCAAGAAAAAAAATACCCTAATTGGAAAAGTTGTGATATAAATTTAGGGGCCGAGTAATAAAAGTTATTTTTGTATTAAATAAGTAATAACGTTATTTATTTATGTAGAGCCGAAATAGTTTCACTTATTTTGGCTACCAGTGGCACCGAAGTAGGGAGGGGGGAGTTGCCCCAGAGTAAAATTTAAGAGGGCAAACATAATATTTACAAAAAATAATTTATTTTAATTTGTTTGTTTTGCATTTATTATATTGTAATATGCTTTTTAAGGTGCTAAAAAATATATTACTCTACTACTACCCTATAGGAGGTATATGTTTGCCCCAACCCTCAATGTAAAAACTTGATTCTGCGCCTCTGTTGGAGGTTATTTTAATATTTTTTACTTTATTATTTTCTAAGAGTTGGGTAGTTTTTTCATAGGATACATGTACGAGTCAACGTCAATTATATATGTTCATTGTTCTATACATTTCATTTATACCGCATCAATGTAAGAAAATATTAACCTTTGGCCGCTAAGCTTAATTAAATTATTTCGGTTCTACATAAATAATGTTATTTACAAAAGTGTAATTATGTGTGTATTACTTAGCCCCTCAATAATTAATAGTACGACTTTTCTAATTATATGTATTTATTTGAGAGGCAAGTTCGTAAGAAAACATATGGACCAGTGTTTCAAAATGCGGAACAAAAATGGGAAAAAAAGAACTTACGGCCAACTACACCAACTGTATTAAGGAGACATTTTGGACCAATTCATCAGAGGGACAAAGATAGAATGGGCGGGTCATGTATGGCGGGCCAATGGAAGTATGTAAAAAGAAGCATTGGCAGATATGTCATGGGATGAGGCACCAAGGGAAAAACCGTGAACAAGATAGGACATAATCGGGAATTTACTAGAAGAAATTGGAGCGGTCGGAGAGTTAAGTTGGCCTATAATATAAAATCTATAACAATAAAATCAATAATTCATAGATTTCAAAAAAAAATATTCAAGATCCAAACCAATTTTAATTTCTTAGTTTAACAAAGGGCAAACAATAGGCAACACTTGATCTATGAACTAGGAACCGTTTAAGTATACCAACTAGTTTATAGAAAGGACGGTGTCACGTGTAATAGAGATAGAATAAGGAATATCACCAATTCTAAATTCATTCAATGCATGATCAAATAAATGAGACAAAGCAATTGTTTCGTTAAAATATTTAAAACAAAAACAAATTTTCATCCATAATTATTTTTTTTTGCGACTCGACAAAACCTGATATTCTTGTGTAGATATTGTAATAAGTGTATATTAAAATTAAATAATATTCGAAATAAAAAACACGTAACTCGTTGTGTATTGTGTGTAATATTATTATTTTATAGTACAAACACACAGTGGACGCGTGTATGTGGAGATCATCAAACCATAATAATTATGATTTATTATTTAATAGTAGTAAAGCATGAACTTTTAACATTCTTATCTAATATTAAATAATAATCAATGAAACAACCATTTATTAAACGAAAAAAAATTCTTCAGGTAAACTTCTGCACGTTTTCAAAAAATAAACGACTTAAGGTAAACGCAACAATAATTAAAATATTATAAATCTCAAAAAAAAATCGTTCAATCAGTATACAAACAATAGTAAACACGTTTTAAGAACGCGTGTATTATTATTTATTGCATAGAGACAATAGCTGTTGTTGGTTGTGTACGGCATTTTATTGTAGATATTGATTAAGTATTTGTGCTTTGTAACACAACTCTACATGCACACATTATGCCCATCATTTAGCATACAAAAGAAAAACCAAGGATTTGCGTTCAGTGTACACCACTATTACATTGTTCATCCGAAAATGGCAATTTTTCTTTTAATCCAATACACAACAATTCACGTGTATCAGCAGTTCTTCAGGTATTTATATAATTATATATATTTAGACATTCAGATATTATTATGTATAATTATATTTTTGTGTAAGACTTCTTTTTATATTATTACTATAATAGTATTATGTTAGTGCGTCGTCGTCGTTCCACCGCTCTGCTGATCTATGACGTCACTGTTGGCTTTATTATAAACGCAGTATAACTTAAGACGTGTATAAAAAGCATGTATACAGTATAGTCTGTCTGCGTGTACAAAGGGCAAAAGCAAATAACATATTTCTTTTTTTTTAAACCTCAGACGTGTTCCAAATGTGCGCATAACATTGTTTTAAAAATAAAAACAAACGCTGTTGTAAATTACTTTTCTTTTATTACTATTTTAATTTTATTTATACTAATATATCATTCTATAAGCGTTATCAGCGAACAACCTAAAATAAATTACACGCGCAGAATGAAATTATCGAATTCAAATTTCGTTTTAATTTTCTCGGTTAGCGTGATTCAATATTCATAATATGTGATAATCAAAATTTAAAGTACCACATAACACGATTAAATTAGTGGCTGTACATTGCAACAACCCTTTAGCTCATTAGTAATAGGCAATAGCAGATTAACCTAAGCTAGAGTAGGCGCCTTATAATAGCTATCCTAAATCCTGTGCCACCTCTCCATAAACATACGATGTAGTTCTGTATACTTGTAAGTTGTATGGAATAGAGTTAAGTGTAGAATTCTTTAATACATTAATACAGTTCTTATCAGACAGCGAACTGGTAAGGTTAGGGACTGGGGAGATTGTAGTTGGGCGCACTCGCCTCGCGGTCGCTCCATTCCGTGTCGGTTTTTTTTGCGCGAGTCAAGGTGAGAGTGTAGAGCTACTAGCTAGCATTATATAAATACATTTTATCCTTATTTCCTTTTATTTATAAGAATATATAAGTACTATAATAAATAATTTTAAACAAAAATGTCGGAAGGGTGTTCTAAATGCTTTGATTCTACAATAAATTAACTATCTAATGTGTTAAAGTGTTCTGTTTGCGCGAATCGTTATCATAATGTGTGCGTTGGAATCCGTGACGATAATTTTGCTTAACTATCTAATAATACCAAAGCAGAATGGTCATGCCAAAATTGTTAAGATTCAACTAAAAAGCCGAAAACCACTTCTGAAAAATCAAACAACGCACTGGAAGAGCTAGTTAAAACAGTTAATTTCATGAGCACGCAATTTGATGAATTTATTAAAATGCAAAATGACATACTAGAAGAAATAAAAAACTAAGAGAGAAAACATAAAACTTAAAGAAGAAAATTACCTTAAATATGGAGGTAAAACAATTAATCATTAAAGTAGATAGCTTTGAGCAGCAACTTTTTAAAAGTTTAATTGAAATTTCTGGTATACCAGTCAATAAAAATGAAAATTGCATTGATATTAATAAAGTCAGTTTAAGGCTTGGAGAACGAATTACTGTTGATCATGTTTTCAGATTAAATATTCCAAAAAAAATTATAAATAAAATCGTGACAAAATTAAAAGATAATAATATAAAAAAATCCACCATTAAAAGTTGGAAATCAAAAAGAAACTTGTGCGTCAATGATATATACTCTGATTTCAATAAAGATAATAAAGTTTACATAAACAAATGTCTAACTAAATCAAGGACACAATTGTTTGGGAAAGCATAATCAGCTGCAAAACATAATGGCTTTAAATAATATGTTTGTGTGAATGATCGTGATATACTAGCCAGAAAAGAGGAAGCGAAACATTACACATCACAGTTTAACCTTTAAATTAAGATTTTATAAAAAATTGCCTATACTTTACTCCTTAAAAATGGGTGGTGCGACGCCCAGTTTGACAGTTAACATTAGAGTACCTCAAGGATTCGTTCCAAGTCATATTATGTAATACTCTCTAAGGGAAAATCAGAAATAGAAATGTGCTATTTCTGTTAGTTTTAACTTTTATACACATTTTATTTTATGACATGGCTATATTTAAAAATATATTATTTTTTAGGTGAAAATATTAAATAATTACATTTTTTTCGTTTTGTAAAAATGCTAATTTTTTAATTTCCATTACTAAAGTATATTGGTAAATAATTAATAAATATTAATATAGTCAGTACAGTGTAATGTACATTTTTTTATTGACATAACTACATAACAATTACATAGTAACAGTTACTAATTATTTATTTTATTTTGTAAGCTCTATAATTGTCCAGCCATTAAAGCCTGTTAAAAAAAATAAACAATAACTCATTGTAACAAAGTAAATACTAAATATTATTTATATTTTGATTTAGTATGAAAAATAAAGTTTTAGTACTTTTGACACTGTAAACCTATTAAAAAATATGATACTACTTGTGCAATATTTTAATGATATATTCAGTCGGAAAGAGTAAAAAAAAACTAAAATAGGTATTGCTGGGCCTCACACAAAAAAAAATGTTCCACAAGCCACTGTTATGTATTATTTATGTAGCTGATCTAATTCAGTTGAACATCATTAAGGGAAAAATTATATCATATGCCGACGATACAACAATAGTCATTACTTATTAACAGTTTGTCCTTTGAAAACGTAGATAAAGCCCTTACTATAGTCTATAACAGTAATACAACAGTAAATCAGTAGGTAGTTAAAAAAACATGGAAAAAAACTCATTTTATTACTTTTGCACTCGACAAAAGAATTCTACCTGATAAAAACGATATAATAAATAATAATACATACTATTAATTGTTATAACACTACACAATGCTGCTGCCCTACAATCAAAAAGATTTATAGTACAAATTACTTAGGTGTGACGATCGATCAGCATCTTAGATGGAATACACATATAAACAAGTTGACTCCGCAAATTATCGCATTTTTTAAAAATAAAATATTTTTTTTTCAATCAAAACGCTGAGAACAGTTTATTATGTTATGGCTCCAGGCTCAATCGCCATTAGAATACGGTATTGTAGCATGGGGCATGGCATATTGGCCGTGGGGTAGAGCGTGCTAATTGCAATACTATAATCAACAACTTGCTGGTAGTGAAAACATCAATTATTAGGATTATACTGGGAAAGTCGGCTCGTTACCCTTCAGCCCTTGTGTTCGCTAATTCTAAGTTTCTTGATATAAAATACTAATTATTGAAAAATTGTTAACTTATATGTACAAACAACAGTCAATTAATGAGACTCAACATCGTTACTCTAGGGGCAAAATCAGTGAAACATTAATTTATGCCATACTTATAAAGCTCGAAAATGTTTTAGTTATATAGCTTTTATATCACTAAACTTCCATTTGACTACCACTCATGTACCTATTATTACGTTTTAACAAATTTTTTAATTCTGTCTGATACATAGGTGTTCAAGGGATTATTTATTACAACAACTGATTTATTTTATAGTTATTTATCATTCATTTAATTAAATTTTAATTGTATTATAATAGTAAGCGAAAATTCTATTCTTATAAATTTCATTGCTTATGTTATTAGCAATATTTTGTCTCGTATTCTTTTATTTAATTATCATTCTTTATTCATATGTATAAGAACTGGTGCGCTGCCGGCCAAGGGTTTACCTTATAGGCACTAAGCAATAGTGCAAATATAATATAAAAATATTGCAAATTATTAAATTATGTTGTTACATTTGCTGTTTAAAAAAAAAAAAACGTGTAACTCTATTCGGAATAAGAACAGTTCGGGTTGCGCATGGGCGTGGCTTTGTTCCGAATCATTGGCTTGCGCGCCTCGACTTGGTGGGAGAAACCTCTCACCCGCCGACGAAAATCGGACTGTTTATACTCTGAATAGAGTATAGGTACAGACTTATAAAAATTTATTTTTACATATGCCACGCATTTTTACATTTCATTTCTCAATATAGCTAAATTAAAGATTATATATATATATATATATATATATATATATATATTTCTTCTGTACGTGTGTAAGTATGCAAACTCCTAAACGGCTGGACAGATTTTTATGAAATTTTGTTTGCGCGATTAAGTTAATTCGAGAAAGATTTAGATTCACAATTTGATCCGATAGAACAAGTTTTTAATTTTTAATTAATTAAAATGATTATTTATGGTTATCGATAGTATCAATAGTTATATCTCTATGGTTTTCCATACCACAGGGATACAGTGATCCAATCAGCTGATTGTGTGTCTACTCTAATACACGGGCAACGCCGGGTCGGGACAGCTTGTATATAAATAAATAAATAAATATATATATATAAAAACATTTTCAACAACATTAACCTTTACTTTTTGCAATTCAATTATTAACAACTTAACAAACAATAGGTTAATTTTTTTAATTAAAATTATGACTTGTTTTCACTATGGGCAATGATCAAGCTTAATAATATTTGAAACAAAAAGTATTTTACAGTAATTTATTAACAATAAAATTGTTCAACAAAACTTTAAATTATTTTTAAAGCTGGAAACCAGTAAGTATTCTCAGAAATGAAAATAAAAGTTTTATAATACTGTAACATAGCAAAAAAAACATGATTATTACAATTGTGTGACCAAAGAATTGCATAAATTTGAAAATGTATAAAACAAAAATCAATAACATAATTTAATAATAGGCTAAAGTGTATCTATACAAATTACAACATTTCAAAATATATTTCCTGTTGTACAGTGTTTTTAGAGCAGTCAAATAATAGTATTCTCCTTTGCAAATCAAATGCAAAGAACATATTATATATATTTTACATAAAAAATCTAATTATTATTAAATACATTTTTTTAATATTTATTAGGTCTCACATATGCTGGACGGTTTATTTTTCGAAACTAAAGGCCTAGCCCATTCAACAAACTCATCAATCAAGACTGGCCAAGCTCCTTCCTGATCATAGTCTAGCATTTCATCATCAATAACACAAGAAAATTCTAATAAAAGATTCCATGTATCCCGAGGTATTGATTTATTGTGATGTTCCTGTAAAATTAATAAAATAAAAAGAATTAATGTTTGTAAAGGTGAACATTTTGTGAAAAGTGTAAAATTAACAGTTTATCTCTTTGGAACCACTGCATCAATTTTCATGTTCTTGGTGGCAAATGAAATCTTAACTAATTGCTATAGGCTATTTGTTAGATGATTTTATGCAATTTTGGTCACCATACAAGATCAAGTCATTATATAGTAGAGCTACCGATTATACGTGTAAGTAAATACACGTGTAGTTCGAATTGACGTGTACACGTGTACCTGCAACTACACGTATTCTTACAACTGTAAGTTTTAATAAGACCTCTAATTTTACGTGATACTATTCTTTAATTAATGGTTGTTACTAAGATAAAGTATTATAGCCATTGGGTCAAGTTAGTTGAATCTCGGGTCCTACACGTGTATTAAATAGACAAACTTCTACAAGTCAGTTCAAACTACACGAACCTTGTTCTACACGTGTATTTAAAATACACATGTAGAATCGTCGGCTCTATTATATAGTATTACTAGATTTGCATGTTCAAAAAATAAAATATAGATTTACTGTGCTTTAAAAGTACACAAAACTAATACAAATTAATAATGACTTATTATGATCTTGTTTGTTGACCAATTCTATTAAAACAGAAAAATGGCCTTTTAGGGTATGATATTAAAGAGCATTTATATTATTTATTTTACTGCTTCAACTACGATGGTCAATAGCGTGTTCTTCTTACGATGAGATTGTATTTTTTCGATTAATTTGGGTTTTGAAATGGCTGTAAACTTAGTATAAGTTAGAAGCATAGTTAGAGTTGAAAGTCCCACCAGGTGGTCACCCATTTGAGAACTAGCAACACTGGTAGAAGCTCAACTGCAGCATTAAACTACCACATCATCAATATATTGCTTTTTAGTTAACTTAATTTTTGGTACATTTTATTAATAAACTATAATCCTAAATATGCAGAAATTGTAATTTTACTCACTCTTAAAAACTGGCACCATAAATCAAGGAACCTGAATCTACCAACAAAAATGATATTCCAGTAAGTGATAGCCATGTCAAGATCAAGACCTTTTTGGCCTATATTTTTAGCATAGTTGAAAGTAAAATAGTAAAAATCTTTAAATTTCATTGCATCTGAAAATTCTCTTTCTAGGGTTGGTAACCTAATTCTAAGTTTTTCTATGGAATCTGACCTAAAAAAAAATAAAAAAATAAAAATAATAATAATATAACACATGTTTTATTATTAATCACTAGGTACTAATTAAAAACTAATATTATAGCCCCTAGCTTCAGTTTTTCAGGCAGAAGTAGGGGTATAATGTATACCCGTGCTAGACCTTTTACCATGACTTTAAAATGTATTTAATAAGATAAATCAATTTGTCTATCTATTGATATATTAATTAAAAACGTAGGATGTCATTTAAAAATCAAGACAGTAGGGATATATAATTTGTTAATAAGATTTTTTTATTCCAGTTACTGTTAAAAATTAAGATTTATTCAGGAAATATGAATAAAAAGTTATATAATTATTATAAAAAAAAACAAGCAGAGTAAAGAACATAAATAATCATCGTACATTAAAATAAAGGTTAGAATATGTATCATTAGATAACCATACAATTAAAATGTTTTAAGTAGCAAGTTTAGTCTCATAATAAAATATTAAAAAGTACACTTCACAAAAAAAAAAAAAATTACTAGTAGCATATACAGGTTGATTTTTTTATCATAAGGCACTCGATATATCTCATAGAGTATAATAAAAAATTTAAATGTTTTTTTTTCAAATTATTTTTATACAAGGTGATCTCAATTTTTCACAATTTTTTTTTGTATTTACCCTCTTCTTAACTTAGTTTTATTGACAGCAACATTTTAATTTTGAAATGTAACTTTTTAAATTTAGAATAATGTACTAACAATTTTGACTGGTCGATAATCAGTTTCAAATAACTATTTTTGAAGTTTCAAGCTAAGGGCAGTAGGAAAGTTGGAGTGTAGTATTATTTTTATCTGCACGCATTTACCAACCACACTTACTCTCCCATCTTAACTTTTAAACTCTTATAACTTTAAAAATAGTTGTCCAAAACTGGTCATCAACTAGTAAAACTGTTTAGTACATTATTCTAAATTAAAAAAGTTAATAAAATTTATGCGTTACCATTTAAGTTTCAAAAGTTGCTATAAAAAAACCAAGTTGGGAGGGTAGTGGGTAAATGCAAAAATAATTGAGATCATATTGTATAAAAACATGCAAAAAAAAAAAAATTAAAATTTCTTATTAAACCCTGAGATATTTGAGTGGCCAACGATTAAAAAAAAATCACCCTGTATACGCCTATTTTGGTAGCAATGCTTATCATAAGCAAATGTATTATTTTAATGGTGAAGGGTAATTTATAGTATTTTATTATTAACCACAAGTTTTCTTCAGGTTTTCTTTCTAAAATTTAGTCAAACAATTATGTGGTTTTACTATACTTGGAAGGATAAGCTACATTAAATTTTACAGTGACATGCTATAATTTTTGCACAATGTGTAAGATATTTAAATATAAATTACCCCATTTTAATCATGCCATTAATGAACTCCTGTTTAGTAAATTCACATTGAGCAGCTGCTTGACATTTCCAAGCAATTATAAGTACTAAGATAGAATCTGGAGGCAATTTAAGTTCATCTAGTAAACGCATAACACCTTCAACATTAATTTTGTTTGGTTCGGCTGGATCTAGTATAGATAAAAAGTAAATGTTTTAAAAGAACAATAATAATTATAATAACAAATACAATTTAGTATATTAATTGTATATGTAAATATATTTTATACAAATTTTATTTCTATAACTTTTAAGAAGAAATATGGTCATTGGTTAAATTTTATAAAGATAAGCCATACGATTATTAAAAATGGCAGTAGCATATATATATATATATGATGTAAATTTATGAAGAAGGTTACCAGTATAGTTATATTTACCACTCGTATACAAGTTTACTACTACTACTACATTTAACAATAGATTGGCTATCTAGAAATTATAAAATCAAGTATATGGTATATATCTTGTTAAAAAAAGTTATAGATCAATAATAAAAAATTAACAAACATTTGTGTTTGTTTAAATAGCAAGATCGTACCACGATATCTATTGTACATAGCCTCCAGTTTCCTTTTGTCAACTGAAGAGCCTATTTGAGTGCTAATTTTAACAGTATCATATTCTAATGGATTTTGAAAAAAATTATCTGACGCTTGTTCCAGTTTCCAATCATTCTTGGCCAAGCAGAAAATAGCAACATTTTCTGGAGCTTGTGTGAAAATCATAAACTTTTTCACTTTATCCCTCTGAGAAGATTTCAATTTATTCTGAAAAAAATGCATATGAAAAAAAAAGAAATGTTATTCATAGAATAGAATAATAGAAAATAATACTTCATTTGAAAGTACATTTGACATTATTAAAATTTCTAGATACTTACACTACAAATTTCTATTGAAATAAATATAGTTTAATAAATTAAAAGTAAGGATATTTATCAGATGCCTTATTAGTACACGCTTATAGTTGCTGCTAAGGTCACTCACCATTTCGAAATTATTTTAATTTTGATGTTAAAATATTTTGCAACGCAGAGGTAATGATAACACAATATTCTGATCCAATATCTTTAGTACACCTTTATGCATGACTGATACGAATAAAATTAAAAAAATTGAACTATTACTGTTTTAATTACATTGATTTGTTTTTACAAATATTAATTTTTCTTGTTGAAGAAACAACTACAAACCAAGAAACAATAGGAATAAAAAAACAACAAAAACAAGGAATAGTATAAGTATACAGTGTATACTAGAGGATATTTATTAACATTCGTGATAAAGAATCAAAGCAATTTTGTAGTGATAATGTTCTAGTAGAACTTTATAACCAGTGTAGACGTGTTAATAATAAAATATTATTAACATTTAAAACTAAACTGATAAAATATGCGTGTAATTGTGTAATTGAAAATTAAATAATAAATGAATAAATTACAACACTAATTCAAATAATAATTATTAATATAATTAATTTTGTAAATTAATATATTATATTACTTAAATTGTATAGTCTTTGTTTTAAAATTACCACAATTATTGTTGTAATCAATGGTTGAAGGAAGACGAGTGGACACTGAACTGGAGTCTGGACCATAGATTGACGCGACCATAACTAACCACCCAGTCGAGTCTTTGGTTAAAATTACTATATACATTTTAAAACATTTTGATTAACAAAGTTATAGCTATTAAATTTTTTTTATATTTTTAACTACGACTCGGAAAATGGAGTAACTAATAACTATACCTATAGTCTATAGTTAATTATAAATAATACAATTATTATTAAATTAGATTACCTATTGTATAATTTTTTAATCGCCAAAATAAATGTTATATTTATAACTATGAATTGATGACAGTTTCTTTTTGATTGTCTAATGAATTATAAATTCTCCCATTATTATTTAGAAAAATATTTTTATTTTTAATACATATTCATAATATTTATATAAATATGCAAATATATATAAAATAACGTACGTAGGTACATTAATGTACAAAATATATACTATTTGTGCAGCTTACCTTGAATTATACTAACAATAAAAACGAAAAATTGTAATAACTAATTAGAAGTCTGAAGTATCTCATCAGCGTTAAGCGATCCCGTGTCCAAATTTCAACACTAAGCTGATCACTAAGATGAATTTGGCCAAAGATTTTTTAACTACCTATATTTGTCCTTAAAAATCATAACAGTGTAACCACTGAATGAAATATATAAATGTTTGAAATCTCCATGATATTAACCTTAAACACAGATTATGGATCGCCAAATGATAAAAACTGATAATAACTAGCAGTTTGTTTTTAAAGTTAAAAGTCAGTAAATACTGAGAATACAACGTTTGAATTTGTTATTTGATGTTTGTGTTGTTTTTTTGTAATATATTTTATAACTTTGTGTTAAATTATTTATACGTACAATATGAAACAGTGTAATGGCCCCCAATTAGAAAATTGTAGAAAATTAGTTCGCACACACCTTGATTTGGTATTTGCATTATTACATATTGATTTTATAAATAATCATTATAGTTTAAGTATTCAATTGAATCTTTTTTTGTCTTTTTTTTTAGCAATTATTTTCATCAGCATTATTTTGGGCTGATAAAGCCGCTACATTAAGCCATTCTGACCCAAAAGATATTTATCAATTGGCTAGTTGTATGTTTTTACTAAAGCAGTATCAAAGAGCAGTGGTGCTGATCAAAAACAAAGGACTTGATAAAGTATGAACTCTTATGCTATAATCTGAAACATATACTTTGATTCAGTACAAGTTTTACTAGTTAATGTATTTTATTTGATAGATGTACGATTATCTCTACTTATTAGAACTGGTATAAATTTTATAATGCAAGTAGCATGTCCACATTCATTAGTTAAAGCATGTAATAGTATCCATATATCAAAATATAATCATACAACAGTAGTGTAAGACTAAGTAGAAGACTTTTTTCCCGTTAGGGGCACTTTACCTTAAGTACATTCGTCAATTATTTAGGAGATGGTGAAGGCACATGTTCTACCAAACCACAGCCCATCAGTGACCCTGAATTTACATAAAAATGAACAACTGAATAAAGAAAACTATTTCTAAACAAATTATTTCATGAAATTATAAAAGATAAAAAAATCTATGATTACATCTTGTGTGCTGAAAAGTGAAAATAAAATAATAAAAAACCCTTAGGTAAAACGTATGTAGTATATTTAATAAAAGCAATTTTGTACCCAGGCTGCAGCATTTAATACAAAAGGAATAAGGCTACTTATTTATATACAATATTATTCACATCATCAAGTTATTTTACTTCTAAATTAAAATTGCTAATTTTATTTTCTAGTGTAATATCAAATTATTTATTTTTAGCATTAAAGTTTTTTTGTTTTCAGACTGATATGCTATGCTACTATATGGTTTTGAGATGCCTGGTAGAAGCAAAAGATTATACAGAAGCAGCAAACATAATTAATTCAGAAATGAATCCAACCTCATGTAATATATCACTACAGCAACAGGATTTGAAATCACATGATTCCCTTACATATTTTAATGTTTGTTAATCAACTAAACGTTTAGTACTTTTTGTTGAAAAATTAATAATAAAATAATTATTTTTAGGTTCAAAGTGCATTATTTTGTATCAAGGGAAAAATATATGAAGCCTTAGACAATAGAAATTTTGCAACAGATTGTTATAAAGAAGCTTTAAAGAACGATGTTCATTGTTATGACGCTTTCCAAGCACTTATTCAGCACCAAATGTTAACTTCAACTGAAGGTTAATATAACGTGTTCAACGTGAAACTGAAATAGAGTTGTGTAAATTTAATTTTTAATTCTAGAGCATTGTTTAATTCAGTCTCTTCCATGGGGAAATCATCCAAATGATTGTATTACAAAACCATTGTATGAAGTATTATTAAAAAAATACCAAGAACCAAAACTTACTGGCCCATTTTCTCAATTTGATATACCTGTTCAATTGATGTTGGATAATCTTGATGTTCAAGTTGCAGAATCAGAACGACACTATTATGCTTGTGCCTATAAAGATTGTTTTCAAATTACTGAAAGTGTTTTAAAACAAGATCCATATCATCCAGAATGTTTACCTATACACATATCGTGTTTGGTGGAACTGGGGAAATCAAATAGTATGTATTGTAATCAAGTTGATTATTAACCATGAAAAGTATATTAACTTATTAGTTAACAATGACCCAGAAAATTTCTTTTAAGATTCTATACATTTTTTTAAATAACCTGCAAGTTCAGAGCCTTATTTACGCAAGGACATTATAGGTATTTGTCCAGGGCCCATGCGTATCAGGGGCCCACCTACTAGATGTAATCCTTTTTAATTAAATTTTATAATAATAGGTCCTTTTTTTTTCTTTTGTCCGGGGGCTCAAAAATTCTAAATCAGGCTCTGTGCATGTTAAACAATTTCAATAAAAGAATAGTTTAATAAAAACAATAGATCGTTAACTAGTTTTAAGTAATTATTTCTCAAGGCACATAGATACACTGTAAAATAATACTATAAAGGAGTTTTAATTTTAATCTAGAAAAAACGTATGGTTATATTATATAATAAAGAATTAATAATAAAAACCCTTAACCATAAAAATAACAAACTCTCTGCATATACGTATTTCAGCAACAATGCTGCGCCCATTATGGGCTAACACCTCCTTATATATACAGCATCGTCATATCAAATCTGTAAAATTACTAAAAAAATCTAAATGACGCTAAAAATGTTGAAAAATAGACACAACTTGTTAAACTGGAACATAAGTCCCTAACAAAACATTTTATTAAAATTTATAAAATGTGTTGACGATGAGTCATCATTTTCGGGATACAATGTCATCCCGAAAATGAAACCTCTAAATATTTAATTTTATTGCCACACTATTTGTAAAATCCAACTAAAAGTAGACTTGAGAGATTTTAATAGAGTAATTGAAAAATTAAAACTCCAATATAGTGGTGGCCTACATACCTGCTTGTAATTTTAAAATGGATTTTAATTTATATGAGAAATAATTGAAAGTTTGGTCCGCTTTTATAAGTGGTTACCCTTTACTGGAATATATATATTTTAAAGCTGGTTGCTAAAATTAGTATTGATAAGGAATATTATTATTTTATATATTTACTACTGTATAATATTTTAGCATTATGATGTTATAGTCAATGATTTTTGTTTCAGAACTCTTTTATTTGGCACACAAACTAGTTGATCTTCAACCAGATCAGGCAATTGCATGGTTCGCTGTAGGTTGCTACTATTATCTTATAGGTATTTATAAGAACAATAGCTATTCATTATTAATTACAGTTCAGATTTATATGCACTTAAAAAACAAACATAAATATCCATTTAAAATCATAAAATACACATTTTTTCCTTGAGAAAATAAACCAAAATATGTTATATAAATATTTAAAAAATACCTTAGATATTTTGTAATAACCATGTATTTAATTTGCGAAATTATAAAAAAAAAAAAAAAGTTCTGCAAACTCTGTTGGACACGCGAATTGAAATTCTTAAAATACAATATTATCAATTTTCTAATAATTATATCCATGACTTAAATTTTAAAGTGTAAAATATGTATATGTATGCTTATTGACTAAAGATTAATAATATGTAATATTCATGTTAAACTATAGTATAAATAGTGCACATATTTTAAAATTTTTATAGATATAAAACTTAGAAAATTTATTTAACCTTTGATTTTTTTCATACTTATTTTTATTATCTAAGCTAGAGATTAATGATGAAATAAAAAATTGTATACTACCTGAGCTAGACCTCTGTGGTTCTCTACTTCTATGTATAAATGCACTGCAGAGAGCTAATATTTTACCTCCAGTTGTCTGCTTAATTACCATTGGTTATTATATGCGCATTTTTGAACTAGATAATGTAGAAAAAAAATGCATTTAAAAATTAAAACTGTTATTAAACATAAAATTTTTCAATTTTTTAGATTGTAAAAAAAAACTTGTTATTTTTCTAAAGATCTAATACAATATCCATTAATTATTTACAAATTATTGTAATAATACACTATTGTAGGTAAAAGAGATCAGGGTAGAAGATATTTAGGAAAAGCTACCAATTTAGACAATACTTTTGGACCTGCTTGGTTAGCTTATGGTCATTCTTTTGCCGTTGAAAATGAACACGATCAGGCTATGGCAGCATATTTTAAAGCATCACAACTTCTTAAAGGGTGAGACAAAATATAATTATGTAATACATTTTTACCAGTTAATACAAACTTTCAATTGTGGATTTAGCTGTCATCTGCCACTTTTATACATTGGTTTGGAGTGTTCCTTAACTAATAATATATTGATGGCACAGAAATATTTGAAAGAGGCATCAGAAATGGCTCCAAACGATCCATTTGTTTTACATGAATTAGGTGTAATTTCTTTTCAAAGTCATAGGTAAGTCATAGGTCTATCTTATTTTGATTCATTTTAATTGTATTAACAAAAATTAAAATTTAATTTAATTTTTATAGATAAATAAGAAATAAGGAAATAGTTATCAATTTTTATTCAAATTTTGTCATATGTTAATTGAAATGTCAATTTTAGTTGGAACATTCTTCTAGATTTATATTAGTTAACAGTGTTAAAATAAGGTTATTAAGTTGTGATTTTAAAATCAAAACTTGGCACTAATATAACTTATGAGCAAAAAGAGAGGGTATTATTAATTCAAATGGTTTTGAACTTTTGAAACTTACACATTTCATCAACCTTTTAAAATTTGTTGAAAATGTTGACAGGTCGATAACCAGTTTTAGATAATTACTTTTAAAGTGTGTAGAGTTGATTTTATCTGTGTGTAAGAAACCATATATGATGGTAGCATTGGGACTTAAAGCCGTTAAGCACATGATGATGATTATTATTATTAAATGTTGTCATTTAAGTTTCATAAGTTTATAAGCTCTTAAAATTACTTTAAATTATAAAAATATAAATACTGACTTAATCAGTAGCGTATATAGATAGGGGAGGGTTTTGGGGGTTCAAACGTCCCCTGAAATTGGTGTTAGTACGGCACATGTGCAAATTATTTTAATCAAAGTTAATTTATAATATTAATTATATTTATTCTTATTTTATAATTAAGTTATGAAATATCAATTATTATTAGTATTATTTCTAACATTAATAATATAGGTACAAAGAAGCAGAGGTAAGATTCCTTGAAGCTTTGGATAGAATCAAACAGATTAAACAGCCAATAATTTCTGAAAAATGGGAATCTTTGTTTAACAATTTAGGACATGTGTACAGAAAACTGCAAAAGTACGACAAAGCTTTGGAGTACCATAAACAAGTAATTTATTATCAGCATTAGCGATTCTTTTAGTTCATTTTTTATGAATTTATAATTTTAGGCTTTGGTTGTATCACCTACAAACACAACGACATTGACATGCATTGGATTTATTCAAGCATTAAGTAAAAATTTTGAAGCTGCTATAGAAACACTGCATAAAGCTTTGGGTCAAAAGAGAGACGACACATTTAGTAGTTCAATGTTATCATGGGTAATGGAAATGTACGTTCTTGAACCTCCTAAAATTGCAGAATTTGTAGAAGATGATGAATATAAAAATAAAAACGAAAATGAAATGACAGAAGAAGGAAAGATGGAAGATGAGAAAACCGAGGACGCAAAGAAACTAAGTGAACGGTGCGATGATTCCTTCAAACTGAATGATGACAATGATTTGATATTACCATTTAGAAATTCAAAATTTAGACTTTGGAACAAGAAATTAAAAAATGATAACAGTTCTGTCATAGAAGATGATAGTAATGCTATGAACGTAGATTCAAGTACACCTGCTGATGAATCTAGTTACAATATGGACTTGTCAACTAATATGTCTACAAATTCCAATAGTTTTAAATGATCTTAAATTTCTATTAATCGGGATAACACTATTTTTGATAAAGCCATCATAAAGATTTTTTCGAAGTGGAAGCATGTTTTCGACAAATAAACTTTGTTATAATAGCATGTAACTTCTAAAATTAAATTTTACGATAGAAACCTAATGCTATAATATATAATGTTGTATTCTTATAATATTTTGTATTAATTTTGTGTATATAACAATTAAAAATTACATATGTAAATATACATACTTTAATTAACAATAAAATGTATACTAATTTATGTGTAAAAGACACATAAATTATATATAGATAACAGTAATTTAGAGTGGTAAAAATTGTATATCTTTTTAATGCTGCCTATGATATATAATTAAAATAGCTTAAGTACTGATCAGTTCTAAACTGCAGTTTATCTTTAATTTTAGGTTTTTTCAATAGTTTAAAATGTTATAATTTAGTATTTTTAAAGCGAGTGTTTTATTTGACAGTAAATATAATAAGGGGGATTGCACGTCAATTAATTTATCGGTTAATTTGTATAGGTTTCAAGTTATTTTTAATTAAAAACATTTCCTGTGAGTAATGACAATTTGATTTTTTTTTCTTTATATTAAAAGTAAACTATCTGTAATTTAGTTATTACAAAAGTATGTGTTGGGAAGTGTGTTCCATGTCATGTCATTTTTGACATGACACTTGAGAAAAATAGCCACCCAATGGCGACACTTAACATAGGACTTAGGTTAATTGAATGGAGTTGTGCAGAAAGTAACCAACCCACAAAAAAGAAAATAGAGATTTTAGTTAAACCAGTGTAGTTTACACTACACCATAGTTAGACTAAAATCTCGGTTTTTTTGTGGGTTGGCTGCTTTCTGCATAACGCCATTAATTTAGGATTAGGATTTATTTTCGATTCAAGTCACAACACTGGAAACCGTCTCTTTAACCTACGAGGAGGATTACCAGGAATGACGTCGGAATTTTAACTTTGATATTATGGGATTTGGATGGTTTGTAAGTCGCGATCAGAAGCGTTCAGTTTTTTTGCGGTTTAATCTAATGCGTCTACTTTTAAAAACATATTTGAGATATAGAAAGGGGCATTTGTAATTATACGAAGAGTTACAGATTAAAAAGTTAATTGTATATTTGATTTTTTGGCTGTCTATACCTATTTAATATTTATCTAGGCACCTAGCTCTTGTTGAATTACTACAAAGATGGTACCTACTAAGGCAGTGACTTAGTATAACCCTTTACACCATATGGTAGATAATTGGTGTTACGTCTTAGCTTGAAGAAAATTAGGTTTTTAAATTTAAAAAAAAACACCAGCTTATGTAAAACAAACTATATATATTTCATAAAATAACAAAGGAAAGAATGCAATTGTTTGTAATGAAATACGAAAATGAAGTAAATGATTTAAACAAGGAAACTAAATAACATAGGTAAGATATCACTGACATTTTCAAAACTCAGTAATGATTTTCAATTTTTTTTTACCCCAAAAAGAAAAGAAGATAATAGAAATTTTTAAATTAAATTGTACCCTTAACTATAAATTTCCCCCGAAAAAAAAAACAAAATAAATAAATTTCAAAAAAAATACATCAAAATTGGTCAGTATTCCAGTTTTTAGGGCGGCAATCTTTTAAGGTTGTTCCACTTCAAACCTAAAGAAAAATATAATTTAGTACCTTACTATATTGATTAGATTGCTAAGCTTACTGATTTTGGTTAGGAGAAAAACAATTGTTGTTCGGCGATGTGAACCGCGGTGGCGAACTCATGCTAGTTGGAGTGTGCTTAGAATTTCGCATTAATGGACGGTGTGTACTTAAAGTAATGCTCGAGTGTTTCCAGTTCCAACAGCCACGGCAATAATAACGATAACACAATTGGTCCCTGCAGAAATAAGGGCCAAGTTGGATGTTGCAAATGCTGCAAGCGCTGTCTTCTAAGTATGGATCTACTTGAATCTAAAACAAAATTATACAAGTTAAATTGAAAACAGACGACTCTTCTTAAAATATAAATACTTTTTTTGAAAACTTTTGAGTTTTAACTTCCACAAAAGATGCAGCCACAGCGTTCGTATAAGACTTGTAACTGCTGAAACTCACTCGGCCAGACCCAATAGGATATTTGTATTTGTCAGTGTCAATACCTAACAATCAAATACATAGGAATTTATATAAATATATAAATATTTTTACACACATACGAACCTGCATATGTGACATTGCCAAATAAATCATCCATTATCTTAAACAGGCCTTGGGCATTCATCATACCGTGCAAAGCACCCACAAAAACCGTCCTAGTAGGGTCCAATTTTTGTGAGGGGTGTTTAACACAATTGCTGTCATTCATTAACCAAGGAATTACTTGAACTTCCTTTCCTTTCATTTTTCTTGACGAAATTTTAAAGTAGTAATTCCCGCCATTTGAACCTTTTGTGCACATATCCAACAACTTCTTTACCATTTGATCCGATTGCATAATAACATAAACGTAACCTTTTGGCTGGTTAAGGTTATTCGAGGTACCGGGCCATTCAATCTTGACAGGGCCGAACTGACTAAAAGCCATAATCAAGCCATCTTCAGTTATGTCCCATGGCACGCCACCCAAAAACACTTTGCACGAGTAGTTTGGCGAGCTGTGCACTACCTTGGGAAGTTGTCCACTCCAAGTAAAAACTGGATCCTTATGTAAACCATCTAAAAAAAAAAAAATTAAACTTGCCGTTTTAAAAATAATTCTATCAAACTTACTAAAATTCCGGTTAGTTCTATTTTCAACTTGATTGTTGTTACTATCGTTCTTAGGTCTCGTAGGAGACCAAAATGGCGGTGGAGATTTTTTCTCATAAACCGGCGATTGAGCTGCTGGTGAACCATATCTGGTAGGATATTGTACTTGATTGGCTAACAACGAATTCAACAAACTTTGTGTTTGATGAAAACTTTCTCCAGCAGACAATCTTCCAGCATTTGAAATGCGTTGCATATTAGCCAAGTCTTGATCAGATAGAGGTGACAAACCGTATGGATTTATATGTATTTGATTCTAAAAAAAAAATTAAACATTTCGTATAAAAATTTCAACTATTTGATTTAATCGAAATACAAAATAATTGTTAATTCAATGTACTCACTATCAAATCGGTAACTGCTTCTGGACTATTATTATTTGATAAATCTGAATCTTCTGGTGTATTTGATCGAGACCGCATAATATTGGTTGTTAGAGGATCACTACCATCACTATACGTGGGTGACACACGAAATTGTTGCGGAGCCTGATATCCATAAGACGCAAAAGACAAATCCAATTTAGGTCGTCGCATGTTTTTATTTCCGATTTCAACACCATCGTCACTTTGACCGACACTTCCAAAATCAGTCATACTAGCAACACTCCTATCTGCAAGATAAGGCAAATGGAGAGAGTTGCGTCTTAGATTCGCCAACTGTTCCTAAACAAAGAAATTTTAAAATTTTAAATACTTATTAAAGTTAATAAAGGAATTATTTGCACCTAAGTCGGAGAAAGAAAAAAAAATTTGGACAAAAAATATTGCAAAAATACAAATTGACACAGCAATAAAAAATCCAGGGATAATAATTTTTTTATTAGTTGCCATAGATATGCCGGGGAGATTCTTATACGCCATACACTGGTTTTATCTTAAATACATTTTCTTTTAAATAAACTTATAATATTAGGCAAAATTTATATGAGGGTTTTGTCTAGACTTCAATTAAGTTAATATTTATTTTAAATTAATGTACTAACATTACCATTTTAAATAGCTAGTTAAAAATTGTTTAAGTCATTTATGAGAAAAATTAAAAGGAGGTAAGTGCGGTTGAAAATTTAACAGGTAAAAACTACTTTCCACCCGTCCCCCGTCCTACATGTTAAACTTAGTAAATTTTAAACTATTTTATCAAAACTTTTTATACGCATGGCAAAATTTTCAGCAATGAATTTTAAGTAAAAGTTGATAAAATAGAGTTATCAAGTTGGTTAATATAGCTTTAGAAATTAGTACTAAAAATGTTAAAATTTGAAATAGTCACTCTACTAGAGCATGTTTTCAAATAGGAAAACGAAATATTCTTTTAACATACACGGAAAAAATATTAAGATGCTTAATTGAAATTACGGCATATATAGGTATATACAATTTCAAATAACTAAAGTCGCCGAATAAAATAAAATACTTACTTGAGCGGTGTACTGCCGTATTTGAGTGGAATAGTTTGGCACAGATTGTCGACCGACCATCAAATTTCGTGGTTTATTCATAGCAATTAACTCAGATATAGAACCGAGTGGATCGCCTAAAAATATAAATAAAATATACATTTATCGAACTATAATTAACTCAATTTTTTAATTAGTATTTAACAATAACGATAAATGCAGGAATTATGTAAGAAACTTACTAGGATTTCTCGTTGGGCTTGAAATTTGATCAGGCGAAGAAAAGAAACTATTGTAGTCTCTCGAACTTCTTTCTTGACCCACGGAAGGAGAAGTAACTAAACCTTCCGGCACGTCTTGGTTTTGAAAAATTGATCCCTAAAGTAGAATAAAAAAATTACAACAAAAATCAATGTTGTAAAAACAAAGGATTTCGCAACAAAAAAAGTCTATTAAACAAGAAAAATTGTTTTCGAATTGCAAAAAAAAATTAGGAATAAGTATAGCTTAAGTAATGTTTTAAAAAGTTAACTTACTCTTCTAAAAGTAGACATAGTAATGACTATCGATGGAAATTAATAAAGGAGAATAAAGGAAATGAAAGCACAAAAAATATTATGATGGACGACTAAAACCGCGGGATCATAAAATACGTGTTACCAACACAACACTTGGCGACGAACTGACTGAAGTCGCACATTGCCGGAGGGTTAGTCGGTCCCGTTGCTACTGCGCAACTAGGAGGCGCATGAAAATGTGTAGGCACTTCTGATTGGTCGACCGGATTACGCGGTAACCAATCAGATTGAAGAGTGTCCTACAACATCATGTTCGCCCATCCCATCCATTTTAACAATGAAAACCCTTTTATATTATCGCTTAATGACATATTATTATTGATTCATTTTTAAATAAATCACAATATTGTAATTATTCATATTTTCGCCATTTGTATGTGTTTGTGAATTGAAATATAATGTTTAACTCCCCTAATAATTAAACTAAAACTATTAAATCAAATGATAAAAATTGAATATTGAATTAAAATGTATGTACCTATTTGTATGTACAAATTGATTGAATAGATGTAGGTACATTTTAAGTAGTACACACTAAGCTTTAATTAAAATTCAATGTTTATCATAGTTTTGTATCATTTTTTTTTTAAATTATCATATTTAATGATTATGAATTATTTTTTTAAACTTTATTTAAGTGGATTTTTGTATAAATCTATTATCTACCTAAACCATGTAAATATATAGTTTATATATAAGATACCTACCTGACTTTATTTTTGTTCATCAATAGATTATTAAAAATAATTCCTTAATCTAAATGGGTAGTAATATATAGATATATAATATATTATAGGTATCCAGTACGTGTGCCTAAAATAAGAGGGGGTGCATATGATATATGGCTCAAATATAGGTTAGGTACTGCATATCCTCTCTTAACACTTATTATATTATCAATGTATAAAACAGCGTAACCTGGCATATTTAATCCTTGGGGATGGCGGTGCTTAATTACTGGAATTATTAGAAACACTTCTTATATATTGCCTATACCTACTATACAAATATAGTTACGGTTTCGTGTCTCTTGAAAAATCGGGTCTTAGCACATAAATTTTTTTGTGGCAACGACGACGCATGTTGTTTTTACATGCTTTTCTTTAGCTCGTTAACACGTACGTACATACGTAGGTTTGAACGGGTATTTTTCAAATCTTGCAAGATTAATTTAACCCACTTCCCGATGTCGTATAGGGCTGAAACTTGGCTAAGACTTTAGCTCGCTAACACGTACGTACATACGTAGGTTTGAACGGGTATTTTTTAAATCTTGCAAGATTAATTTAACCCACTTCCCGATGTCGTATAGGGCTGAAACTCATCTTAGATGACAATATACAATATCCTGTTATCATATTGGGACTTGGACATCCAGGTCGCCCTACACAGGGTCAAATGTGTGGGTCATTTCACTAAAATGTCATTTTTTTCCAAATCTTCCCAAATTAATTTAGTAATCTATTCAGCAATTATTAAATACCTTTAATAGGACTAAAAATTAAAATTAAAAAAAAAACTTTTTTAAAAACATGCTTTTCAAAAAAAAAAGTAGTAAAAAGTGAACTAAAAAGTCCCTAATATTTTTATAAGATAATGTTTTATATTGTAAGTTCTTTTGTAATTTAAATTTAGTTTAATATTTGTGTGTGACACATACATATTATAATACTTAACTCAATGCATTTAGACTTTGTTAAATAGGGCCCACGCTTTTCTTTTTAGTCAAAAATTAAAAATGTTTAACATTATTTAACATTGTAGTTAATTTTCAAAGTAATTGACATTTTAAATCAAATATGCTACAATTGATTGGTAAATTTTTAGATCACTTTTTACTATTTTTTTTTTTTTAGAAAAGCATCTTTTTAAAAAAGTTATTTTTAAATTTATTATTCATTACAGTCATAATTACTATTATAGACAGTCGACAGAGTTGAACATTATTTAGATAATTTTTTATGTAAATAATTTGTAAAATAATTGTTTTATCTGAATAATTTATTCGAATGACCGTCGCATAATTTGGTTTATTCGAATAAATCATCTAAGATTTTGTCGAATAAAAAAATTATTTTAAAAAAACATCTTTGATTTGGTCGAATAAAAACATATTACAATAAATTATTTATTACTTATCCGTTATTCGAATAAAAAGTGCCTAACTCTGATTATAGACTGGAAATCTAATTAAGTCAGTAATAAGTTTGTGAACTTCTTTTTGTTGGTATCAAGTATATGGACTATAGTCTTTGGACTAAGAGTTATGTTACTAATCAATTCCGTAACGGTTTGATTTTGTCCATACCGGTTTGAAACTATAATGTTCCAGAACATTATGGAATAAGAACTCATAAAAATTGATAACGCCCTATAATAACAATACCTATATACCTACCTAAAAATGACATTTAATATTCTGCCGATATACTTACGAAAATAACTTTAAATAAAATATTTAATTAGTTTACAATTGAAGGGCTGCGAGGAAAAAAGATCAATGTCAATTTTTTAACATTCTGAGAAAATCATGTTTTAAATTTCAAAACCTAATACATTTTGCCTGTATGCCTAAACTTCCGGCGGTCGTTACTCTCGACTAATTAATTTTTTTCCCTGGTTCGAGCGCATAAAAGATACAATACATCAATACAAATAATTTAATACCAATATCTCATTTTCAAAAAAAATTGACATTGATCTTTTTTCCCCGCAGCCCTTCAGTTGTTTTGATATATTAGTATTATATTTTATACTACTATAACAAGACAATTCCACAGTATATTTTAATTTCTATAGTGCTCATCTTAATTTTTTTCCCTTCTCCTGTCTCCTATAAGCTCTTAATTGCTTTTGACTCAACGTCGTATCTCCAATCTCTTAAATTAAACCTTTTCAAATTTCAATTCACATTTATCTCGAATTATTCTCTGTATAAAAAACATAATTATTTAGGGATTTTTATGCAGAGATTCGCGGTAATAAAGTGGCTGATGTGCGGGCCAAATCTTCTTCAAATTTAATATCCGTTTCTTTTACCTTCCTTAGTCTGATTTCACTTTTGTTCTATGACGTCACATTTTCGATCTTTGGTCCGTTTATTGAAGTAATCTACCTGCAAACTTTGCTTCTAGATTTAAATTTATTGTTGCCAATATGGGGATATCCCGACTCTCGAGTGCGTCCCGTAATGACCCTTTTTTAACGTTCCGAGTGCGTCCCAAATATAAAAAATAATTTTTCTAACGTAGCCCGAATGCGTCCCAGTTCGTTTAGAGTTAATATAGTTGTCTGTTAAATAATCCATAAATATGGATTACTTTTTCATTTTCCGGCAATGTAGACATTATGTCTTCAACAAAACATTCTTCAACATCTTTATTCAATAATGGTAGTCCAAATATATTTTTCAAAAATAAACCTTTTTCAGTTTCATCGCGATAATCTTTACTAAGCCCCAAATTTTGAATATGATGCCACCATGCTTGCCCTAAATGGAAACTACATCCTTTTTTTGGGCCAAACTTCTTGCGTGCCAATATGAATAGATAATTCAAAATTAGCAAACATAATATCGGGTGAACTATGTTGTTCAATTTATGTTAATTGAATTTAAAACATTCGGCTTTTAATATATTAAAACATTTGGCATACGTATAGTTTTCTTTATTATTTGGTAAAAAATACACCAAAGGTACCTGTGTAATGCCCATTACTAAAACCGTAGTATTGTAAATAATTGTAAAACAAATTTAGTACAATACTTAAAAGTGCCGTCTACATAAATAGTTTTAAGTGTTTTACTGCGGACGCACTCGGGCTATTGAATAAAATGTTGATAAATAACTGCGAACGCACTCGGGCTATGAAAAAGGTAAAAACTTTAAATGGGACGCACTCGGGAAACCCCCGCCAATATCCCAAATAAAATTTGGTTTAAAAATGTAAATTAACCCATGTCTGCTTCAACATCGTATGTTTTAACCGTTTATACCTACGCATTGTTATTCCATATTACTATATCTCACGCATAGGCATATAAACTAGATCTAAAATCTAAACAGCCCCCCTCTATATACCTACTCAGTACACTCCACATAAAGGAGAGTATTTACGATCTTCTTCAAACCTTTTTGACATTTTCATGTCTTAGCTCTGGCACATAACCGAAAATAGCGTTATCAAAAAAGCGTTCGTGACAAAAGCGTTACAAAATCGTTACAGGGGTAGGAGTTAGGGGGTGGGAGATAGGAGGTAGAAGATAGAGGGTGGGAGATAAGAAATATGTTGTACGTTCAACGTTCAAATTAGAACTAAATAATAAATTCGAAATAATTTAATTCTCTATGTTAAGTTACTTTTGGCCAGATAATAAACACTACAATTTTAGCCAGAAACTTGATTGTACATAATTTTTTTATCTCCTTGGCCTTATGCTGTAACTGGAAGCTCCATGTAATTTTTTTTTTTAATTATAATTCCACAACTAATCTATATTTATTCGGTACTTCAACGAGACATGAAAATGCTCTTTCGTGGTTGCAGACTCGGCTGAAAAACTTTTTTACTGACCCTCCTTGTTCTCTAAATGTGATAATTTAATTAATTTGAATTGAAATGTTTTCAAAAAAATGTCCTTAGAGACAGCATAATATAAAGTAAGTATGAATATTTTAAGAATTTATTTATCGTTTTAGTTTTAAAATATTCAAAAATAAAGAAACTTGGTGTTTATGTTATTTACATAGACCTATAAAGAAATGACTAGGTACGCCTTCCACACACCCCGCCTGTAGTGCCGCTGGGTCAATATCGTTAGAAAGAGATAGAAAGATTTGTTAGGTTTCCCATAGAATAAAAGTTGAAAAGACATGTTATGATTTTCAAAAATAAACCTTTAAATCACAACTAATACACACATATGGAAATATTTAATAATTGAAAAATATAGTGTTATTCGAAGTTGTAAAGTATTTGTAAGTAAATATCTGGTAAATGTACCTACCTATTTAATTTTTTTGTCGGGTATCGAATATATTCGTATGATGTATTCACTATGTATTGTTTTAAATAGATAGCCATAATATCGGTATTAAATACTTAAAAAAAAAATAATAATTTCATTGAAATTTTATCAATGAACTTTCTGTTTACTTTTTATAACACGTTTTGAAGAGCAGTTTTTTTTTACAAACTCAAGAGACAATTTACTGTTGGTAAATTATCATTATAATATGATATTGTGAATATTGACTATTGTTTAACAACTTTTAGTTTTTTTTATAAATTTTAATAATAAAAATCAATTTGAGTACCTTTAACTTAAATAAAAAACTCAATAATGTATTTTTTAAACACTAAATTCGAAAAGAATTTGACAACGTTCTTAAATATAATGTTAATTCTAAGTTATTAGGTCCATGGTTATTTACCTATGCTCGTCCCCATTTTTTAACGTACAGAAATTGTATAGACGTATTCATAATCAAAAGATTACTTCCAGTAAAAATAATTATTGGAATTGGAGATTGTCGCAATTAAAAATATTTGTATTAATGTTCTGCCTCTAGCTAGTAGGTAGGTATTATATCAAACCAGATATCAAACAAACCAATACACGTCAAAACAGAGGCGTAAACAGGATTTTCTTGAGGAGAGAGATAATTAATTTTTTCCTATAGCATTATAGACTTTTGAAGTTTTTTGGGGGTAAACAGTTATATTCCAGTTTAGAAGACAATCTGTAGGTATACTAGTATGACGTCAAAATCCTGATACACTAATTTTGTTTGTGCTAACCGATAGTTCTTCTGCCATTATATGGTCATACTGGTAATGCGTTTGATAAGGTTATCAGTTTACAAATTACTTATTTTCAACGTGTGTACCACTCCCCGCCAATCATGGAAAATGGACCAGTTTCTTGTATACCAACAACTCCGAAAATGTCAAAGGCGAAAAAAGTAATCGAAGATGCTTTGGATAATCATAATCCAGAATTGGATTTGGCCGATAAAGGTGTCATATCCTTTGAAGAAATGCCAGGGCTCAGTAAGTGTACTAATTTTAAACATTACCTTTTATGGAAACTTGTTTCTTATTTGTATGCTCCTTATATGGCCATCTTCACTATAGCACATACCCTTTCATTTAAATAATTCAATTATATTTTTATGGTTCATAACAATTGGCAATTAAAACGTCTATAGATAAGCCAAACTAAACCTCATTATTTACCTATTATTCCGGGTAATATCCATACAATTCTTATACACAAATTATTGAATAAATAAAATTCTATAGGACCGAAAAAATTGCTTTGTATTCGAAATAATAACTAATATTTAGTGAATTAGCTACCTAATTATGTATTATGTTTTTTTGGTCTGTCTGACAAAATAAGGAAAAACAATTTTATTCAATTAGTTTATTAGTGCAATATTATGGTTCATGCAGCGTTGTAAAACAGACATTGCGTCTCTACCTCATACAAGCCTCTGCTTGGGGGTACACTAGAAATTAAAATTCATGGAAAAATTACTTATGTATGGGGCGCATATGTAGGCTGTTTCTAATAACAAAAATTCTTATTCTTAGATAATTTTGAAATAAAACTACATTGTTTAATCAATAAATGTTTAAATGAGTTAATTTAATGTTAACTTTTATTGTATTTCAGTTGATATGCATAACATCACTCGGATTACGTTGAGTCATAATAAAATACAAAGTACGTACATAAATACAGATATTTATAACGATAATAAAAAATTTTGTTTGGTTTATTATGAAAAATACAAATTAATAACAAAGAAATGTGCAGTTAATGTATACAGTAATTTTAATATAATTAATATATAAACAAAAAAAGTCAACTGGTTCCTCGAAGTATTATAATATTTTTATTATGTAACTATACCAGTTTTGCTTCTTAAGAGCTCTAGATAATGGTCACATATTTTAGGTTACATTGGGCCAGTGGAATACATTTTTTCTTAGTCAATATTTTATAAAAGTCCGCTGTTGAACGCTGGCTGTTTAACCATCTACATCGCAATGTCTACAAAATGTTTTAAAATTTAGTTAGAACTGTTAGAAAAAGTGTTGGACACAATCTGTTTCGAATCACTTGACCAAATCCTCAGGGTGTATTTTATAGTTTATTTTTTATCTTATTTCAGAGGTACCACCTGGAATAGCAAATTTAACTAATTTGGAGATGTTGAATTTATTCAACAACCAAATTGAGGAGTTGCCAGTTTCTCTTTCGTCGATGCCCAAGTTAAGAATATTAAATGTTGGGTAATTTTGAAATCGCTGATTTTTTTGTATGAAGTGTTAATTATTATACTATGTTTAGGATGAATCGTCTAGACTCGTTACCTCGTGGTTTTGGAGCATTTGCTGTTTTGGAAGTTTTGGATTTGACTTATAACAACTTAAATGAATCCAGTTTACCGGGGAACTTCTTTATGTTAGGTAAAATATGTCCTTTAGCTATTTAATTATTATTTTAATCCTTTGAGACACTTTTAAAAACAAATTTGAAAACCTGCCTATTTATAAAATGGTGGTTTTAATATAAAAATAAAAAATAAACTAAAAAACTGTTATAACACCACTCATTAGTGTATATAATATATCTATTTAGCCAACATAATTATTAGAAACCAAATACACCATTTTATATTATTTGTCTCCCATACTATTGCTTGTATTGCTAGTGTCAATTTATGAGTAGCAGTTTGTATACAGTTTTTTAATGAAAACATATCTGTAACAACTATGAATAAGTGTAAGTAATTTTACAGGGGAGCGATTTAAAACTTTGACTAGCTGTCATAAATCAGGATTTCACTAAAAACATTTGATTTTTTATAATCATCTTAAATTGATAAATACTTAAGAGGTACTTAAGTGGTTTCTTTTAGGTTTAAAATTGCTCCCCTGTTAAATTACTAAAATCGACTTACACACTTATTCACAGTTGTTACAGATATAGTAGTAAAATATATTTTTTTTAAATTTATTTACAATATTAAAGTACATTATTTTATTAGAAACATTACGAGCTTTATATTTGGGTGACAATGATTTTGAGACATTACCATCTGATATTGGGCAATTAAAGAATCTTCAAATAGTAAGTACATGAATTAAAACTTTACAAAAATTACATTATTAATCACTATTTTTATGTTTATTAATTATTATTAGTTAGTTTTTTTAATTGATTACATATATTTAAAAATTGTACAGTTGGTGCTTCGAGAAAATGATCTCATTGATATTCCGAAGGAAATTGGCTATTTGCCTAGATTACGTGAACTACACATCCAGGCAAACCGTCTGACAGTATTACCACCGGAGCTAGGTAATTTAGATCTGATAGGTAACAAGTCAGTTTTGCGAATGGATTTCAATCCATGGGTTGCACCAATAGCTGATCAACTGCAAGTCGGTGTATCTCATGTTATTGATTATATTCGATCGGAAACTTATAGATAGTAAGTGTTTTGTATATTAGTATTATTTTAATTAAAGAATGTTCAGTCCCGTGAAACTAAAGAAAAATAATTTAACCATAATATGATACATAAATACTGCTGACTGCTTGTGTAGTAAATTAAATTACATTTTTGTTAAATTTAATTATAACTTTTCTACCACAACATTTAGATTTACAGACATCCTATAAATATTATTATTTAAATAACTATTTACATTATATTTTTGAGTTAAGGATCCTGATAGTGTTCCAGGCAAAATATTTGGGGCCATTCATTCCAGGCTATCATAGTTTACTCTTTAACTAAATTAGTCAAGATGTTTTTCTGAATCGAACATCGTAAAAATAAATTCTTTTAATCAAGCTATAAAAAATAAAAAATATTTTGTTCCAATAAAGTTCCTGAGTAAAAAAAAAAAATTCTATTAATCTTTGTTTTATGTGTGTAAAATGATTGGTTCAGAAAAACATATTTTATCTAAAAATACATTCTCATTAATTAGAGTAAAATAATGTTGGTAAAAATAAAGGTATTACTGATACTAATGTATTATTATGTTGGTTTAGTGATAATATTTTAAGTATAACCAGTATAAAGCAGTGACGTATATAGGAGAGGGTTTCGGGGGTTCAAACCTCCCCCCCCCTGAAATTATATCTTATATACGCCACTGGTGTAAAGAAAGTATACAAAAAGCAAAGATAATGACTGATTTTATTAAAGTTTCCACTATTAAGAGATTAAAAGTGTCTTTAAGTAGGGTAGACCAACAAAAAAATTGGTGATGCACGCCTTGGTTGAATTTAACATTGTTTCATATTTATTTTACCATAATTGAATGTTCACTGAAGAGTTCTGCTAGGTAATGCTCATCCCACAACTGTAATATGATACAACTATGAACATAAAAACTAGTTAGGAGTAAAATGTAAATTGGTCATTCTAATTATTATAAAAGTATTCATTAATTAAATTAACTATAAAAAATAGTTTTCATTCTTTAAGTCTAAGACATCAAAGTATGAAATAACAATTTTTAAAAAATATGTCCTCTGCCCAAGTCAAAAAAAAACTATTTAGTAAAATGATTTAGGCTTCCATTTTTAACACTACAAATATATAAAAGTGTAGTTTTCACTAGCCATTAAATTCTGCATAATATACATGTACTTTTTTTTAATTATCGTAAAAAAAAAAAATGTTTTGAAAAATGAGTTTTTCTATATTGTAGTTTGTTTTACATCAAAATTTTGAAAAATAAAAATATTGATTACACACATGAATAAAATAACAAAAAAACTGAATTATGAAAGATTATAAATTTTTTTTCATTTATTTGTATTAGAATAATTATGTGTATCAGTGTGTATAATTATCAAACAAACAATAAATTAATAGTACATTTTAGTATAATTAATATATCCCTTACAGACTGGCAAGGCACCATTGTAAGGGTTTGTTTTTTATTTTGTAATAATAGTAAAATATTTTTACTTTGTTTAGACAGATCTCGCACAATTGTGAAAAAAATGTTTTCGTTCTGTAAAGGAGAAAAAAATAGATAGGCTCTAGCACCTTTTCAAACTATTAATCGGTTATACAAAAAAAAAAGATTAGGTAGGTTTCTCATTATGTATAACTATCAATTAATATATTTACTTATGTAAAACTTATCTATAATATATACCTATATCTAAATATAAATATCCATTTTGTGATTCTAAATGTAAAAATTATATTTAAAGATTTTTAATTTTACATATTCCTGACTTGTTTTTGTCAATTGTTGTTTTGTAGTAAATTAGTGATGGGAACCCGAAAATCCGGATTTTTCAAAAAAACGCTTTTTAAGTCATTTGAAAATCTTATAATTGTTAAATACTATTACAATATAAAGATGTGTACCTAAGTAAAATTTGTTGATAAAAATTTAAAAAAAAAAACTCTTAACTTTGTCTATAAAATGCTGTCGGATTCCGGATTTTCGGATTTCAACAAATCCGAAATTCAAAAGCAGTTTATCTCTTTGGTGTTTTGTTTTATTTTCACATATTTATCAAAACAAATGTTACTTAGATATAGAGCTTTATATTGTAAAATTATTTAACACTTAAATGATTTTTTAGTAACTTAAAAAGCGTTTTTTTGTGAAAATCCGGATTTTCCGATTCCCATCACTATAGTCATTATACAGGGTGATCAACTTATCGTCAACCACTCAATATCTCACTGGGTTTAATTAATAATTGAATATTGAGTAGTTTACGATAAGTTAATCACCTTGTATATATATATAATATATAAATTTAAATTTTGATGTAAAATAAACTAGTCTTAACTCTTAAGTATAGAATCACTCATTTTATAAAACAATTTTAATATTCACTTCTAAAATAAAGTCCATTAAAAAAAAAGTTGTGTTGGCGATTATTAAAAAATACACGTGTATTATGTAGAATTTAATACCCTGTGAAACTACTTTTTAAGTAGTGTAGCAGGTACTAAAACTGTTTGAGTTATAACGAAAAATCTAAACCATTTCACTGATTATTCGATTTTTTACTTAAAGTAGAAGAAATATAAAAACTTTTTTTTTTACTTTAGGTGTGTATACAAAAGTAGCATTTTGGTCCTTTGTCAGGTATTATAACAAAAATTGCCCTTTTTTCACTTGTTCCAAATTAATACATCTGAAGATTATCAAGGTTTTAAATATTTTATCGTGGGATGTGTGGTAACTTAACCCAGTCTGGACAACAGAACATGCACATAAAATGAGTAGCTGTATTTGTGCACGGCACTGCTTCTGTATGTTTTATTATAAGTTATAATCAATAGTATTAATCTAGAATTTAATTATTTAAAAATTACAATATATTATATAATGGAATTTATTTTACAGTCTCTACAACCGTCATATATCTGCTAGAGGTGCTCCTCCACCAAAACTTAACGACAAGACAAGGAAAATATCCAGAATTTGATAACAAAATTGTAAAATTGTACTGCATTAAAATAGTATTAAGAAATGTTAAGAACATGCATAATTTTTAAATTCTTTAATTGTATTTCACAGATAATTTAAAAAAATTTCATAACATACAATTTTAATTAATTGACTAACTAACTTTAAGAACAATATGATTTTGCACTTAGTAGTTCATTATTTTTGGTGCAAATTAGTTTAACCACCTTGATTTTAAACAATGTATGCTTACGTTTTTTTTAAATATTTATTACTGTGTGTTAATATTAATAATTTATTTTTAAAATTACTTAACCTGTTAATGTTTTATAGTTTACTTTTTATGCATTAAATTTATTTATTTTTATACCTTGTATATATTTTTAACTTGTACACATAAAATTGGTAATCTTAAGATACATTAGTAAAAACTACAGACATGATCAGGAGCTTGTGGTAAAGAATAATGGAAAAATTATAAATGATTTAATTTAAAAATTATAATTTTTAAATATTGAGAAATATACTGCTTATAATTATTAAGAGGTTGTTTATGTTAAAAAAAATGTTCAAACATTTATTTAGAAATTAAAATCACTAAAAATATTATATTAAAATAAATAATGACAGCTAAAATACAAAACATTAAATATTTAACAAAATAATAATTAGAAAGTCATATTTATAGAAGGTATAGTCCAAATATTTAGTGCAGTTTTTCAACATTCAACTGTCGTGATGCAATTAGTGTGCATGAATTGCTTTTGTCTGTAAGTCCCTTAAACATGAAATCTAGGATAAAAAAAAGAATCACAGAAATTAATAAAGACTTGATATTAATTAATACATGGTTAATTTTCAGTAATTTTTTTTATGCAAATATAATTTTTATACATACCTAGTTGTTGAAGTGTTATCAATGAATCTATTGTTTTTACTTACGTTAGATATTTTTTCCTATATTGGATAGCATTTTTTTAAGTTTTTCATCAGATTTGGCTTTAATTATATCTCCAGGACTGACATGTTCAGGTTCATCAGCTTTTAGTTTTTCTTTTTCAGCTAGTAACTGTGTGAACGGAGTATGAAATATTTAAATAAGTAATGTATGTAGCAAGTATGTTAATAATTGTTATGACGTAAAATTACACAAGAAAAATTGGTTAATTTATACACTTACATTTAAAAATACCCAAACATCTTATTTTTAAATAGTATATACTAAAAATAATAATGTGTTTATTTTTACTTTTTGTTGATGTAAGAGCATACGTCTTCGTATGCCTGTACACAACTTGCTGGTTTTAACAACGTCATTGACATTATTTCGTTCCATGTAGCTTTCATTCCAACTTTTTACTTCACTTTTGTCTTCTGAAACTGTTTTGTTTATAGGAGTTACTTCAATTTTGTTTTCTTTGGGCTTTTCCTCAGGTCCAAGTAAAGCACGTATAGCTTTGGCTCTCATTTCCAATTCCAGTATTTCTAAAAGCGTTTTCCCTTCTTTTATTGCAGGTTTATCAGAATCAGAACTAGATCCATTTCTTTTCTTTTTTAATGACTTTTTCTTCTTTTCTTTCTGTGACCTCTTTACCATTGAACTAGTATTGTGTTGTAAACGCTTATTTTTACTAATTACAAGTGTATCATCAGAGTCAGACGATAATTCTAAGTCTCTCCCTGTATACAATTAATTTATAGTTTAAATTAATAACAAATTAACTATAAAATAGTTTACAGTATAAGTTACCATTTAATGTGGCTAAAACTCGTTTCTTCGACATGCTCAGTAGTTGAATTAAACAATCTGCTTTTAACTCTTCTAAAGTCATATCCTATAAATTAAAAATTTACTAATGTTACGTAAGTTTTAAATTTAACTACTACCTATACCAATTTTTTTTAAAAACAAACAAGTAACAACTAAGTAATACCTTAAGCTCTGGTGGCACAAGTCTAGCCAGTCTTTTACCACGTACTATAGTAAAAACCTGTCTTATTAATTCTTCAGGATCATCCACATAATGACTAAGTGGATAAATATCAACAGATGTATCAAATGTTTCTTCGTCAGATCCAGACTTATTGTCCATCTGAATAAAAATAAGTATCCCTTCAGTACAACTTAAAGAAATTATAAATAGTTTTTTTTTAAAAAAGAAACACAAATAGTAAATACCTTAAATAAATTTTGGTATAACTTAAAATTTGATAAAACTATTGTTTAGAGACTTCAGATGTAAGTAAGGTAATAATCCAATACTAGTATAATATATCTTATTCATGTATTAAAGAACAGCCAGTACAATGGGGTTGGAGGTATAGTAGGGACGAAACTTAAATGAAATCAGTTAAAGGTCTGTATGAATAAAGAAAAAGTTTATTTTATATATTTCAATGTTCACAACTAATATTAGTATGCAAGAAATTTACTAACCTCGTTTTTAATAGCTTGAAACAAATTCGTTTTCTTTCTTTGATTTTGTTCGTTCAGATGAAAACCTATAGTTCTTTTCAAAGCCATTTTGAATAGACGTAAATGTCAATAGATGTTAATATTTACACTGCAGTATAAAATGTATACGTGGTTATGCCTATTTCCAGTGATAAAAATATCGTGCTTTTTTTTGTTTCGAACATTTTCGTTTTATATCTATTTATATTATTCAATACTATTAGTGACTTAGTTTTAGTCTGTAAGTGGATAGCGTCCATGCACTTAGACCTGTCTGTGACATAATAATTTAAATTATGTCGTTACTGATTTTATTATTATTTTAAAATTTACTTGCCATATTAACATTGATAATAATATATCGTTTACTTATTATGGAATATCATTTGAGTATTAAATTGTATGCTAACAATTCATAAATTATATTAACTAACATTCTTTGAATGTAAATACTAAATTTAATATCAGTCTTCGTGAGAGTAGCACTGAATAGATAAAGAAAGCAAAGAGTGGAAGACCTATTTAGTATTATATTGTTATATTATCTATATTATACAACTAAAAATAATAATGCATAGATAATATTATAACATTATAGTTGCGAACATAGACCTATAAAGATTTCTTTATAGGTCTATGGTTGCGAAGCCTTAAGAAGATGGCCGCCGCATTTTTGTATGATAAGTATCTTCACCATGTTAATTTTTATCAGTGAGGGTTTAATATAATTTATCAGGAAATTTAGAACGGTCAGTTTAAAAATCACATACATACATTTGTATGCATGTATTTATCTTTATCAAGCATATTATTCTTAAATTCTGGACATAAAAATACAATAAATTGCACATTAAATAACAATATATTTTAATAAAAAATGCATAGGTTGATCAAACTGTATAACATACAACACAGTTTTATCACAGAATAAATTGTTCTATACGATTCTTAACGATACTGATATCACATAGTTGCCTTTGATTAATGCACGTTTTGCAGTGTGCTTTGTAAAATCATTAGTTATACTTATCTTAATTTTTATCGTGTACCTACTTGAGTGTATTAAATGTTGTAACGTGTTTTGCCATCGAGTAATATAATATTTTTTTATTACGTGATTTTCTAAAATCCTTTATAATCTTAAGTAAAAAATGTCACAACTGACCAAACTATTTGTAGGAAACTTGCCGTGGACCATTGGTAGTCGGGAACTCCGAAAATATTTTGTGTCGTTTGGTCACGTTGCTTCAGTTGACGTTTTGTTCGATTACAGTACTGGTCTATCTAAAGGTTACGGTTTTGTTCAATTTACTACTACGGGTGGATTAGATAGCGTTCTCAAGAATCAAAACCACGTATTAGAGGGCAACACACTGACCGTCAAATTAGCTTCTCAATAATCATCGAAGAATTTTTAGTATTTTTGTATGAAATCAACATAATTTATAAAATTAGTATAGTACAGTGTTTAAATTCATATTTTATATATAATGTTTACCTCGTCAAATAATTTATCTGCTCAATTCCAACAAGCTGTTTCATTCATATCTGGATCAAATATATCTGATTTCGATATACAACTAAAACTATATGGGTTTTATAAACAAGCCCTAGAAGGAAAATGTAATCAACCTAAACCACCTATTTACAATTTAAAAGGGAGAAAAAAATGGTATGCCTGGTCTGAAATGGGTGCGATTTCCAAAGAAGAAGCTATGGAACAGTATATAGAGTTAGTAAAAACAATAAATCCAAACTTTCAATCAGTAAAAACGGGCTGGGTGTCTGTAAGTACACTTGCAAACAAGGAAAAACCAATATCAGAAAATGAAAAAACCATCAGTGATTGGGTAAAAGAAGGAAATTTAGATAAAATATCAACTTATAAACATAACATTAATATTATTGATGAAATGGGAATGGCTCCTATACACTGGGCTTCTGATCGTGGTAATTTAACAGTATTGATGTTTTTAGTTGAAAACCTTTCAGCTGATGTAAATTTGCAAGATGATATGGGTCAAACTGCTTTGCATTACGCTATAAGTTGTAACCACAAAGATGTAAGCAAGTATTTAGTGGATAAAGGAGCAAGAACTGATATTCCAGATGATGATGGAGTTACTGTGATTCAAATGTGTGCAAATTCAAAATTTAGTTCCATTTTATTACAGTCCTGATGTTATGTATACTCTAAATTTGATATTAATGTAAATTAGGTATTTTTGTTATATTCACAATTTTATATCACTTATATAAAAAGGTAATTATAATTTTGTAGTTAAATTTGTTTAATAATATATTATGTGCAAATTGTTTTGAAGCAGACTTGTAGGAGTTCAGTAAATTATATTTATTAATTTAACATCAATAATTATGTTATTAATTTATATTGCATTACCTTTATACATCTTCTAATGTTTTTCTGATCATTTTATCTATTCTATTAACTATTTAAGTATATTAACATATTAATTTACCTAAAATCAGTAAAGGTCTTATCGCTCCTACTCCTAATTATTAAAGGTTAATGTTTTTGTTAAATTAAATAAAAAAGTATTTTTTACATACACGTACATTGTTACTTGTTAGAAGACGTCACTTAAGAAAGATCATCATTATTTGAACTTAGTTTTAGCTCTTATCAATAAAAAAAAAAAAAATTCTTTAATTGATTTATTTTGAGTTGGTAATTAATTACCACAAAAAAGTGAAATATCAAGTTGACATAAAATAATTTTAAACCTATTACCTATTAAACTGTACGATGTCAAAATTCTATTACAATTAGATAATTAAATACTCATACATTTACCTTTTACAGTAGGGATTCGCTTACTAAAATAATAAATATATATTACATAATACTTTCATTAAAAACATATTTTTTAAAATCATAAAACAAAAAGTTAATAACAAAATTAACCATAAATAACAAATTTTTGTTTTAAAAATAATATATAACTAGGTATCATACATTTAAACAATTTGTTACACTGGTACTCGATTGTCATAAATCATCATAGTATTCACGTACAATTTAACATAACAGCATTAAAAAATTGAATTACAAATAGCTTCTATTTAAAGTTCATAATTATTACATAACTTATAATTGTTTGCGTCTTTGTTAACTGTATTAATTAGGTATATATTGTTTGTTAAATAAATTTTGAATTTATATTATTGGTGTTTGTTAGATAATTAACTGGGTAAATAGGTAAATATAGTTTGATATAATTTCTATGTTGTCACTCGTCAAGGTTCAGTAACACGCCAGAAATGCGTTTCAGATAGTTACTTTTGTCGCTACTTATTGTTACTTTCGTTATGTAATGATAGACGATTTTGTAGTTCGAAGTAAAAGTTGGTTGTGGTAAACACTAAAGTTGTTTGTAACATGTAGTTATATTAAAACTTAAATTAATAGCTTAAGTAGTCCCATCGTTAGCTTAGGTATATCCTAGCAAAAATTGGGAGTAGAAATTTTACATTATTTAATAATGTAGGTTCATACTTCACTTATTGCGGCTAGGTTAGGTTGTTGTTAGTGGTTTGATAACTTCTGGTTTAAACTGAAGTGTTGTCAATTTTTTAAGTCTATCCTTTTTATTATAGATCAATAAAAACGGAATGCCTGCATCCATTAAAGTAAAAAACTATTAAAATTTTGTTGGTTAAGATGCAAGATGGTTGTATTGTTTTGTCAAGTACGTTTTATTTTGTATTATTATTATTTGTTATGGATTACAATAAATATTGAATTAGGTTCTCAAAATCAATATCCTATTGTTAAAAGTCAATACGGTAAAATGCATATAGTTAATAAAATTCGGTTTAATTTTAATAAAATGGAACCATGTCGATTCACAATGCTGAATAAACGTTATGAGGATGCTACACAGAACTCACCCGTAATTAGTTGTGTGAAAACAAGGTTCGCGCAAATGAAAGTCTACTGCAGAGGCTGTGATAGTACAAAATTCACAACATTTTCATTAAAATAGAATATTATTATCTTTGCTTAAGCATGATAATTTTTGGGTTGATCAAATACTTTATTTATATGAAATAGTTTATGAACTTCAGGTTTTTTAGTATTTGTCAATATATTATTATTAAAAATTTGTGGATTTGAGTTATCGGAGACCTAAAAACGCTTAGATGCAGATAAAGTTCTCTATTTATTTTGGTTCGCAAAAATTATTATATAAAAAAAAAATGTGACTTTTTGAAATAGCCTGAAAAAAAACACACAGATAATCATTAAGCAATCCACACCACTGTATTAATATTTATACACTAAGTTTAAAGTCTAAATAAAGATTTTGCGAACAATCGCATAATATACTTTACTCCTTATGATATTGGGTTTGTATTAACAAAGTAATAAAGTAGTTGTATTGAGTTATCCAAGTCAATGTAGTAAAAATATATAGTAGGAAGTAGGTAATGTTATAAGTTAGGTAGGTAATATCAAATATGTCGTCACATGATTATTATTATATGTTGAGTGTTTATTAGATAAGTTATAAGTAAGTTATTATTAATTTCATAACAGTTGTGTGTACTTAAATCTACCCATATATTTATACCTTTAACTAGATTCATACAATTTTTAGACTAGAATGCCACAGATGAAACTGAAGTTGTTAAAGTTGAAGTCGTTATTAAACTATAAAGGTACCTAATCTGAGGAAGGAATAGTCAATTACGAACAGTTGATAGGTACATTAAAAAATAAGGACCTTAAATTTTGCTTTTTAATATAAGTTTCAATTTCTTATGTCCCCAAGTATGCAAGTAATTTTACACGACATTATTTCTGTCCTTAAGTAAAATGTTGGTTAATTGTTAGTTAGATATAATAATGTATAGTAGTAATAATATGTAGTTATAACTATAAAGGTAATCTGAGGAAGAAGTAGTCAATTACGAATAGTTATGCATACAATGTGCAACCAAATTTTGAGATCAAGGCGTCAAACTGGATTAACTTAATCACATTGTTTTATTTCGTTTAAGAGCGGATAAATCATGTAAGTTTTTAGTTGATGTAGGTATACAAGATGTTACAAATCATTGAAATGTTTAAATTGTTAGTAATTCATGTAATTTGTAGGTAACGTGGTTTTGTTTTCAAAGTATAGTTCAATCGTTTTTAAGTACCAACTTAAAGTTTTTACACATTTGTCATATTGTGTGTAGTGTTATTATAAGTATGTGTAGCATAATAAATTATTATTTTAAAATAATAACGAGAAAAAAGTGTTGTAATTGTCATTTAAAAGAAATCAGACTGTTAAACGTTATTTTCTAATATAGACTAGAGTTTGAACTGTATTGGTTTTATTTGTGTCATTTGTCAATATGTTAATAATGTAAGTAATATAAAGAATAAATAAGTCGTTATTTCATAAGAAAGAAGCTTAAATAATATTAAAAAAAGTCATAATGGAAAATTGATAATGTTGGGGTTTCATCACAGTAGAGTTTTTTAAACCGTTTAATCAATAACCAATTAGACATTTTCCAATGGCGAAACCCTTTAAACGTTAAATAATAATTATTGAAAATTATTTAATAAAAGGTAAATTAATAGGTGTAATCGATGTTTTAGTTATATGTTGTCATTATAGAACCAATGGGCATTTTTATCAATTTTTTGTTTCGTCCAAAATTTTGTATTATGTGTATTTATTATAGTTAAATTTCGTTTGCGAGTTTTACTTACATATCTACGTTATGCTGATAATTTCAATGTATTTTAGTGCTATTGTAATATCTAGTAAGTTACTAATTATTAGGACTATAGTTAGTAATTTGTTATAGGTTGTATTGTCGTTTTGGTCGTAGTAGTTTGTTATTATATGTATGTGCACTGTTCAGTCTTGGTTTTAGGATAAAACAATTAACAACAAAAGATGTGTAATTTTTTTTTTATAAATTGTTGTTCTATTGTACCTATAATCATTTATTTTTAAGTAAGTTAACATTATTTTTATATTTGGTATAATTTATAATTATTTCTGATTGAAACTAACGTTTTGAAACTGGCGTTTTATATCAGTTATCGCTCTATTCTAAATTAAGTACGCTTTGTATTTCAACTATAATTCAATTAGCAACGAAGTTGTTTATTGTTTAATAAAACATTTATTTTTAGTACAATATAGTATTCAAGATTATTATAGGTAGAATTTGTTTTGTAGAAGTTTTGTCGGTCATGTGCTATGTAATTATTGCAAAATAATTAAAATACTCAATCGTCCATAGATAAATCAGTGTACTATTAAAAAGGGGAGAATCATTATGACATTCTTTTTACCACATCTATTTTAAAACGCTAGGGAGATTAAATAAGCTATATGAGTAGTATATTGAACAATTTTCATCAAATTTCATAACTCCCAGTTAAATTGCTTTAATGCTCTACGAATTAGTAAATTATATTTAAAACAAATCTTTACTTACTCCGCCTATACTTGTATCAATAGTTTCAGTTATTGTCAGTTATTGTTCAGTTTTATAATATGTAAATATAAATGTGAGTTATTTTGGTTTTGTTGGTGCGTTGAGTTGGACCACGGTATAGTTACAAGTATAATTTAAAACAGTGGCTGTTAAAGGGGTTCTCATTGTCAAAGGTTTCGTTCGAGATGCACTAAGCTCCACCTTAGCATTCTCGCTCTCACCTTAGTCCATTCTTATGTCAGTGGTTGTCATTAGCATTTATAATGTGTAGTTGGTTCAGGTTTTCTTGTTGTAGTGCGTTGGATAGTGATTCAGTCCGTTTTAGTATTGTCAAAGGTTTTGTTTAAAGTAAATGTAAAGTTAACGTTTTATGTATGAAATGATGATAGTTATGATTTATTGCTATACAATAAGTATTAGTACGTATGACAAACAACTAAAAACTTTCGTTTTGTACCGTTCGACATGCTGTTGGGACTTGTGTACCTATGGTGTGGTATATCATAAAGATTTTGGCATTTTACGATTAATAAAAAGTGTGGACGTCCTAGGTGAAAATTTACGATTACACATGTAAATGACCTTGCGACCTACTTTCTACGGAAGTTTTCAATTTTTTTAACGTTCTACGTTTAGTTGTTGTTGTACGCACTGTCAGCAGCTGTATAAGTGAAAGCCCAAAGTGAAATTACACACAAAGCCGTTAAATTAACATTAAACCGTGCGTGTGAGCGCGGCTTTTACTGAAATAATATATCAACAACAATGATACGTTATTCAATGTGCTGACAGGCTACCAATTATAGGTGGTACATATGAGTTTTGCACAGCATGTATGCACTATTGCACTATGCAGTGGGCATCACTAGAGTTATTTACAAATCGCCATCCGAATACATG